CGGATCCCGCAACAACCCTGGCAGCAACTGACCCTCCTCCGCACCCTCTCCTGCCCGTACCTCATCGCACCGCGACGCTAGCCGTCCAAGCGCGGCCCGACAGATCCGCTCGGCCGGACTCCAACAACCGCTGCCAACGCTGCCCACGTGTCTCGCCTCATGGTGATTTTCATTTCCGCGCTGCTTCGTCGACGGCTGGGCGTTCGTAATCTTCCTCCGCGTGGCTCAATTACAGACACCGTGAACGGTATTTACATGTTACTTTTGGTCGCTGAATACGCTGTCGCTATAAACTAATAAACGCTTCTCTTCTTAGGCGAGCTGAAAGAATTGGCTCAGACTCGTAAGAAATGGGATGGTCGAAGTCCTCAATTGATTTTCTTTCGGCACATATATACATACATACATACATACATACATACATACATACATACATACATACATACATACATACATATATACATACATACATACATACATACATACATACATATATATATATATATATATACCAATAATTACATAACGAATGACGAGTTTCTCCCACGCCTTACAAGCTGAAGCATGAAAGCCCGATTACGGAGGGATAAACTTAACGAAACGTATCACCATCCCTCTGGAGAAAACAACAGCACCTGTGCCAGGGCTCGAGGCGGGCTGTGGCGAAGAAAGCGCGCGAAACTTATCGACAACCCCCGCGAGGTGTCGTGCTGGGCTTAATTTCAGTGGGAAATGCTCCGGGCATACTCACGAATGCATATACACGAACGTCTACGGGGGAGCCCGGAGTGTGAATGTCGAACGTGCTGCACGCAGCCTTTCTATGTACGCTGTTATGGTACACAACGTTGCCTTTTCGTACTCGACTGTGACTCAGGATATTACCTATCATAATGCTGAAATCAACGCGGCCGGCGAGGCACGACGATGACTGACAAGGGGTTGCGAATGGAAGGAACTGTGCCGACAAAATCGTTTTGTCAGTTCTCGCATGCGATAAACTGGCTAGATAGATATCCCCGACGAAAATTTCGAAAGCCGGTCAAACGGCACGGAAAATTTCATTGATGTTCCACTGATGAGACTCATTCGTGTAAATATCAAATAATTACTTTCACAGATATGCTGCGCCAAAATTGGATCTCGTTCAAATTTCAATTTTTGCATCTCAATTTCTGATTTCATATTTTAATCTCCAGGATATACATTTATAGTTACGAAAAAAGTTGCAAATAACGCGTAACGGGAAAGTTTGCGTCATAATGGAACTCAATGACGATACTCAGCAATAGTAAGCTAGACGATAATAAACTTAACGAATAAAAAAGCTGTATAATAATAGTAGTAGTTTTATGATTCATCACAGATGTTGATATACCTTCCACAGTTAAGCGGTCGATTATACAAAAGATATACGCATAACACTAGTGTGACATCAACCAGTATAGACATCAATACAATGAGTACTTCCGCTGTTTACTGGTACATATATATACACATGTATACGCATTAATAATATCGGAGGTAGCATTCGCTTCGACTTTACAACAAAATCTACGAACATAACGTAATATTGGACGAATCTATTACACAAAATTACGCTGCAATTGTTGCTTCTATGTACACGTAATATCGCGAAATTGCTGATTTTAAGCGAATTACGAGATTTTTGATATTAAATAAAAGACGCATACGTAATGCTCCAAAGCACGCATACGCATAAGCCGTATGCGTGATGGAAGTATACGATACTTAAGTGTGTAGTTTCCGACCATGTGCACGCCAACGTACCTTTCGTTCAAAGATGCCGTCCGATTAAATTTCACCTGACTTGATATTACCATTTATCAAAATTCCTACGAGGGAAAAGGAGAAAGACAAGTTGCTGAAAGAACGGGAAACATTGAAATATAGAAAAGTGAATAGAAAGGCACAATCGTGCTTCAGGTGTGGATGTATAAATCCAGTGGCTTGACTGCTTTTGCTTTTGCACGCTATGGACGATTATCGAACTATGAAGGCGTTCAAAAAGAAACAAGGAGAATCTATGTTGGAGCAAGGACAGAGGAATTTCTGAGCTCACTTGTAGTGTAATGATTTTTCTTTCCGGCTAACGAAGGAACGCAGCTACTAGCAAAATCAATATTCCGATCACGCTCAAGATTATCTGCTTTTATGCGTGTTCTTATGCCTCGACAGCTTCCCCTTTCAAGGAACATTACGCAATTCAAATATTATTCAAAGGCTAAAAGCTGTAGGGGCGCCTCATGGATGACGTAAGAAAGGATGATGGCAACGCATACAGGAGAACGTAGGATGCTAGTGTATTATGTTACAGGAAAGATAGATACGGGCGCGCTGATGCTTTCCCTAATTCACGGAATTCTCCGGACTCCGGTCGATACGTGCACAATCTGCGCGACGGACATGACTCCAGAATTTTTGTAAAGTCATTTTTAATCAGGCTCCGCAGGAACTTTTTCTCTTGACACAAAACATAAATACCGCTGTATCGGGGGTCCAGCTGTGTTTGATTTGTATCTAATGTCTGGATTATATGCATCAACGCCGGCTACAGCTAGATTCCTAAACAAATATATGCGTCGTTTCTTGACTCAATTCAGTGGTTTATGGTTTAAAACACTGCGGTGTCTACATATTGTGGGAATTTTTACTCGAGTAAATGTATAACGACGCGAAATTTTATATTAAATGTCGTATTAAATTATATTAAATACTTCTGTTAAATAGTTGTATTAAATAATTTTTTCACAATACCGTCCACTTGAGAAATCTATCCGATGATCACGATCGCACCGTGATTGATTAGACTCCTTATGCGATATTACAGGGGATTCAGTAGTAACGATATAATCATAGTAGAGCAATAGGTGGCTCTGAAGGAGCATCTCTATGTGTCTTATAGAAGATAATTAGAAGCGTCAACGCCTCCCTTGACTCAGCGTTATTAAGGATCCTGGCCTCTCATGGTACGCCCCTTTACGCCAACCCTTTCCTCCTTCCCACTTTCTCAATATCACGCGCATACACGAAGCAAATATTGCTCAGAATTAGGAACTTTACATAGCTATTAATTTCTGCACACATCATGACATTAAGCTTAAGCTGATATTATTAGGATAATGCCATTCGATTCATGCTTGTCATGCAATTCCGCATCACGAAGAATACAAGAATAAAGATTTCTTTACGTTTATTAAACTTCAGTTTTTTTATTAAAAAGAACTTTTTTATTTACGAATAGAAATTTTCGTGCACAAGTATATCGACAATGTTATCGTACAATTGATCGAAATTTGAAGATATCCCTTCTACAACACAGTGTCTCGTCTTGCTGAAGAAGGTTAGTATAGAAAATCAACGACACCGTAGCCGGGTCCCTCTGTTAAGTTAAAGTACTAAATTGATGAATGAGTCGCGGAAACGAGAAACATTTCATTGTATCCGGCACTGGCACGCCTAATAGAACTTGTCCAAGTTTATTATTCGGCTTGGAAGAGCGTAAGCTTAATGGCCGCAGGCTAAGTTCAGGACTCCAGGTATAAGTGACTGATCTTTCCGTTTATATTAGGAAATTCGGGAAAGTCTCGCACACACCTTATCTACACCCAAGAACACACACATACGCTACACATTTTACGTATACGAGTATATTTTGTACTCGATATACTATATAATGCATATATAAATATGAAAACGGAATAAACAGCTCTTTGCAGATGGCTGAAGAAGGTAATTTCTTAGAGCAGATTGGACGGAAAATGTATTATAAAAATATCGAAGGGAGAAGATGGAAATATCGAAGGAAAATGTACATAATGGGGAAGACGTGACTTTAAGGCGGTGGCTTGACAGTTTCGTTCATCCCCTGCCATTAAGTAAATTGACTGCTACATACCATAATCTAAATAACAATGTAATTTTCATAATGTATCCCCATCCTTCTGTGAAATCGCGTTGCTTTTGTTTTCGCGTTATATTAATTACATTATATCTTGAACCAAATTTATGTCGACATTATGAAAGTACGTCAGTACGATTAGGTACTAAAAATTAACGGAGATTACGATAATTTAAGCGCTATGACGAATATGAGAATGATTCTGTTTCGGATACTGAAAACAATAAGTAGAAAGTGGAAATTGTTGCGATTAAAAACGAATCGTTAACAAAAGGGAGCGGTAAAACAGAAAAAGTAAAATTTTGCGTAACGATGTGATGACTTCGGATGTTTGTCCCACAGCTGATGCAATTTGATCCAGATTTAGGGCTCAACCCTACCGTCCATTCAGCTTTGCACAGGTCATCCCTAAAACTGTTCCTAGAGTAGTGACCAGCTGTTATGGCCAGCAAACTGTCGCTTAAAGGATTTGACTTGATCTTAATTCGACACATATTGCGTCCACGTCTGTTACGCGCTCTAACGTACTTAGAAAGCTACGTCCAAATTGGAAACAGCACAATTGTCTTCATTCAATGAGAAGACCACATGTTGTCCATCGTATTTAATCAATTATTTTTCCTGCAAACATTTTACATATCTCTTACAACAGAATATTTCTAGATTAATTGACTAGCGTTTCTGCAGAAGTATTTCAAATAAATTTTTCTTTATTGAATATCTGTAATTGGTGAAAAATTTTTTCCACACGTGTATTTTAATAATGTATTTTAATAAATTAATGGATAATTTTAAATTAAGATTATATCGTAAAACTATCTTAAATTAATGAATAATCAATGAAATATGATCTATTTTAAATTAAATAAAAAATAAAATTTGTTACCTTGAGACTCAAAAAGACATTTCACTTGTAACGATTTAGTTTACACTAAAGAAAAATTGGTCCCAAATGAATCGAAAAACACGCCAACAAAATTGAATCAACTACTTTAATGATATCTGTGCATGCGTAATTGCTTCGCTATCGTATAAAAACAGCTCAATTATTATCACGAAAATAACAAATCTGTTTCAGCGACGAAAACAAACCCCAACGTCGAGTTCGGTGGCGGCGCAACCGCGGGGACAAGCTCGTCGGTGTACGCAACCACCGCAAGTGGAACAGTGAATTGCATCGTCGGCTCGTTGGCTGGAATTCCAGGTAGCTTCAACAACACCGGTCGTACGAATTTCACGAATAAGCAACTCACCGAGCTGGAGAAGGAGTTCCATTTCAATAAGTACCTGACCCGAGCGAGACGCATTGAAATCGCGTCCGCGCTGCAGCTCAACGAGACGCAGGTAAAGATCTGGTTCCAGAATAGGCGAATGAAACAGAAAAAGCGTATGAAAGAGGGTCTGATACCAGCGGATAGCACAAACGTGACGCCTTTGAGCGGTGCCAGAAGCAGCAGCAATTCCCCGACAGGCTCATCCAGCCACGAGATTGGTAGCCTCGGTTTGTCCAATTTCACCAGCGATAACAGCAGGGAATCCCCGCCGTCTTCCAAGGATTGACGCGACTTTTCTTACGGCAACAACAGACATTATGGTTTACGATTCGACGACTGGTAGGCTCCACGCGTATGGAAGACCGAAGATTCAGTACGGATCATAACAGCTTACCTTACCGCAGCCACGAAGAACTCTCGAATCCGCTATTTTTCAGGCTGCATCGTGAATGTAATACCTTGAAGTTAAAATGAGTAATGTCATTCTGTGCTTGGAAGTAGATAACTATGCGGTATACATAGGGAATATCTATCTTCCTATTTCTAAACTGTAGAACGTGACATCGATCGCTCTAATTCCACCATATCGCACGGATTAAAAAGTGGCATGTAGTTTCGATAACGTTTAATACGATTTTACATCGTAATATTACATTCTGGGATGTTAATGATTTTCCGTCCTGAATTTCCTTCGATTAGTGCTAAGAGATTCAGATAGATCGTGTACATTGATTTCGTGTATTATTTATTCTGCTCTCACGTTGCTTTAATTTTCAGTATGACTTGTGTGAAAGTGTATAAATTTAAATTCAGTTTCTACCCCAAATTCCAAGGTTACCATATACCTCAGAGTTCATATAGCTATTTATATTTATAAATTTAAATACTAACAAGATCGGAAAGACATTGTTTACTTTACTTTTAGTTAATTTCTTAAGGAATTTTAATGTATTACTACGCATCAGATGTTATCGATGTTTACGTTGATAAATCAATCAACGATTATAGTCTAAATTCGAACTGGACTCAAACATAAATAACATATTTTATCAGTAATGCAATTAACGCATACTTTTCTCTTCTTATTGTTTCTTTAGCTCAACTATTCAGCTTTACTTGAATATATATACATAAATGAATTGCTAATTTATTTATGTACATACATTCAAGTAACGCAGTGAATGAAATAAATTGCATTGTGTTTTCGTATTAAAAGCGAAATGATAGCAATCGAGTCTTTTCGTTCGATTAGCTCTTTCAGTACTTATGCATTGTAAATCGCAATAATTTTCCTTTCAAAAAACCAGTTTAAGTTTTACTTTCTTCGTTTATCAGTATGCAATATTTAGGAAACATGCGCTATAAATAAATACAATAGATATACTTTACATACACACATACGGTACATTATTAATAATCTATTCTATATATAAATAATAAAACTACCAATATACAAATATTAAAATTGATAAAATAAATGTTTCTGACACAACCCTTTTAATTTTTTAAATTAAAATAAAAAAAATGTAAACTATTACATCGATAAAGAAAAATGGTTCGAAGCATCTGTATCAAAACCGAACTGGAAGGGTTAAATTTGTATATATTGGGACATTTGCACAATAATAATGTAAACAAAATGAACTGTAGTAAATATCGCGCTAACATCCGTGGCCAAAATATTTTCCGCGCTCTGATCTCCAGTCTTAATATTACCGAATTTGTAAAAACATCGCGACGACAGTCCCTACGGCAATTGATGATACAGTTATTGGGAGTGACATCTCTGGATAATTTGAGACATAATTTAAAATATAAGCAAATATCACTTTGAAGCAATACATGATATCACTGATAGTAATATTCTTGCTCCTTTTCTATCCTGCATTCCCATACTTTGAGCTCCTAGCAGCCATTCAACTGACCAAATTCTTCCTATAGCCTTTGCAAATGAACATCGATTTTTCTTAAACTGAATTCACATTAACAAGTTAAACCTCGAACCGAATTTAAAACCAAATCTCAAGTCAAATCCTACCGCTAATGCATGTTTGTAACTTTCATCGAACTGAACATCATACCGTCGCAAATATTCATACAAAATCGCGTCTTATCTCAACGCAATAGTTTATGCGAATAAATTCACGCATTGCAGCGATGAATAGTACACTAAAATTAGTTAGTGCAGTATATGTTTGTACAAACTAAGACACATTCTTTTTATTCAACAATAATAAGAGATAAACGATCATAAAAAATAAAGTTTTTTTATTAATTATTTTAATTAAATTTTGATTAAATAATTTGCTTGATTTCAAACTTTTTCGAGGAATCAATGCACAATTTAAAAATTTTATAGAAATCTCAGAGATTGATTTTGAATGCGTTATTAATATAATTTGTATCGAAAAACCTAAAAAAAAAATGTTTCATTCTTTAAGCAAACCATAAGTGTGTGAAAATCTTATTTACTAAATTTTTTCTGGCTGCAATTTTCAGTAATTCCAAATATTCCCGCTCGGCTTATTGTACAATTCAATTAGACGCGTAATCCTATCGCGAATAATCTTTGATGCGACGGCAAAATACCTGATCCATAATAGAAGACACTGCAAGACCAGAAGTGACGTTGTCCTACTCGAGATTAAGTTTGACAATATGGATATAATCCATAAAATAATGCATAAATGTTAAAATATTATTGTCAAAGACATGATAAAGAACACATTGCGCCAATTTGATTCTTCTGAAATTCGAAAGAAATTTGAAAGAAAAGATTTACGACTAAATCTTCATTATGGATTATTCGAATGATTATACATCAGTAGGAATTTTGGATCAATTCTAAAACAACAAATTAGTCCAACCGTCCTTGCAACATTTATCTTAACGTGTGGTAATAATAACACATAATAACAGAGTATCCTTGATAATCATGAGAAATCGCGAGTAGTTTATATCTCTCTGATGGTGATAATCTGACAACTGTAGATCTAATCTTCGCCCAAGTATACATGTATTTATATGTAAATAATACCCTACGTAAACTATAGGCCAATAAAGTTAATCGATACACGTGAACCCAATATAAACCGAAATACCAAAACGGGTTGTTAGAAAATCCTTATTTCAAGCTTTATCAACAAATCTACAGAAGCAATGAATAACATAATTACGACGAGATTTTCAAGTCAACTGAGATTTCGTATTCTACTTGAACTAATTCGCACGTTTATAAATTTACAAATTAGTATGAACGTATATTACGTTACGTGAATTACATGGTGGTCCATTCGAATGCTCTGTACCTAAAAACATTCCTATTATGATAAAGTGTCATTAGCCACAATGCCATGTAGACCTCTGTAGAAAGAATAAAATATTATTGTACTAATTGATGTTATTTATTTATACTAAGTCTTACCCTAATTATAATTACAATTGCAATTATAATTAACACCTACTTCTTAAGGGTTCTACCTTAAAAATTTTACTTTAACGTTATTCGTATTATTATTTACACATGTATTACCATCTGTAGGTCTAGTAATAAATAAAGAACAATTTTCTAAATTCCCATATTACCATTACATGATAAAAGTAAACTTAAAGACTGATAGTGCAAAATTTGAAAGCAATATACTTTAGATGTCTATTTACTTACTTAAAATTTAAACTTCTTTTAAATAATTTATCAGATTTTTTTTCATTACTCATACTACGCAGTTAATATATGCAACAAATTGTTATGATTTAGATAATAAAATGTTAATATTGTGCTTAAAATTCACACATTTACACGCACATGCACACGCTACGCCACGTACATACACATACATGCTAACAAAGTAATAAAAATTGCCATTCTGACGTAAATAACCTCTTGTTGGTAAACTATTTGTCAAATTAGTATAAATAATAACCACTAATATGCAGTTTGATAAAAATATCTAATATACTTTATTTTTTATTTTTATACGTATTTATTATACGTAATATTAAATAATTGTAAATATAAAATTATTATTGTATTACTAATTGTTCAGATATCTATATCAAATAACTAAAAATGGTCGGTAATGTGAGTGTTCTTCTATTATCCTGCGCAAAAATCGTTCTCCAGTGTCAATACCTTAATAATTACACTATATCAAAATCCTCTAAAAAATGTTCCAATATGCTAATTCTTTGCACAAATATTACCAATGCACTAAAGTACCTAAGCATTACAGAATTTTTAAGGCCATCGCACATACTTTCCGTAAGACGTAACAGTAAGCTTTCAACCAATCGCGTTGCTTGTATCTCAAATGATTACGGTTACGGCGGCTAATTAAGCAACGTGATTGGTCGGAACCTTGCTGTTATAGAAAGTACATATGATGGCTTTTAGTAGCAAGCAACGTCAAGCAATTTTATTGGTTACATATTATCTTAAGATAGTATATAACCAATGAAATGGCTCTATATTTTTGCTGAAAAGCAACCAATGTATTTCGCCGATTGTACTTCAGAAAATGCAACTATAAAGCTAGCGGCACATGGTGCTTGTTTTCGTGCTTTTAGGATTAGGTGAAAATACTGCATTCTGATTGGTACATTTCTGAAGATGGATGGAAATACACCAATCAGAACGCAGTATTTTCATCCAGCAAGCAATCCAGCACAAAAACAAGCACCGTGTGCCGCTGGCTTAAGGAACAGTCCTATTGATTAATCGTATTTTGTTTAGTGTGCCACAACCTTACCAAGCCAATAAGGATAGGTATGTTTTTCTGCGGCAGAAAGGAGAGAGTATAGAGTAACAATTGAGTGTATAAGATGTAAATTACTACAAAATCTACAACGATGAACAAAGAAAAACAAGAAAGACGGTTTTCTTCGCAAGAACTACATCAATATCGTGAGCGGTTAATAAAACAAAAAGAATTTCTAACCGAGATATTATCTAAAATTGAGGAACAAATAGCGGCACTGCAGGTATGCTGTTAAAATGTAAACATAATAAATGTATAATTAAGTACTTAAATTTGTGTTAAATTCAATATAAAAAAACGTAATAATAACATCAATATTTATAGGTTGAACGATTGCACTTGAGGAAAACTCTGCTCGGAACAGAATGTACAAATCAAGAAATATCGCCAAATTCATCACAAAGAAATAACAAAATAAAGACTGAGCCTGTAATGAATGATACTAATCTACAAGATTTAAGCGAACAACAGTTAGACTTATCTGTACCAACATCGTTAAATCTTTTTGAAGAGGAGATTGAAGATGACGAAATATCTGAGGACGAAAGAATAATAGTGAAGAAACTTAATCTTTTGGATTATTAAATAAATTAATACTATTATTGTGTTGATTAATGCTATAATAAAACTGAACATCAACATCTAGATTTATAGACCTTGTTGGAATGATATTAATATCAATTTGTATATACAAGGGTGTCAAAATAAACTTGCAGTAATTGCACTAGATAGTTATAATCATATATTAATTTTCCTCCTACTTTGTAAGTATTTACAACATTCTTGTAAATGATTGTAAATTATCAAGTTTGACATCCTAATAAAAAGTTTGGATGAAAAAAATAAAAGTTTATCGTCAAACCTAAAATTTCCATATTACATATAAATTTAATATTGGTAAAACAAGGTGCTTAAGTGTTTTCGTATAAAGCTTGTCTAATATCGGGTTACTTAGAAATTTTATTCTAATTTCAAAAAATTCTAAACAATATAATCCATCAACATTATGATGGATAGCCTTGTAGTAATTGATATTAACATCACTTTATATATACAAAGATATTAAAATAAACTTGCAGTAATCATACCATATAGTTATAATGATCATGTATTAACTTTCCTCGTACCTTGTAAATATTTACAATAATCTTACAAATTATCAAGTTTGGCATCCTAATGGAAAGTTTAAATATGAAAAATAAAATATAAGTTTGTCTTTGAACCTAAGATTTTATATAAATTTAATGCTGGTAAAACGAGGTAATTAAATATTTTCATGTAAAGCTTGTCTAACATTGGAAATTTTATTCTAATTTCAAAAAAATCTAAACAATATAGTCCATCAATATTATGATGGATAGCCTTGTGGTGATTGAGCAAGATGCGATGGATCATCCAGTGCTGGTGGTTTAAATTGTTCAGCAGAAAGACGTGTGATGAAAATACCTATACCCTCTATCAAAGCCAGTAACACTCCGCCAATTATTGCACTGCCTGCCATTGCAGGCAGACCGTTTCTTGCTGCTAAAATTCCACCTGTTGCTGCTCCACTGATAATAGAATTCCAAGGATCTTCTTTTTGTCTCAAGTGTACTAATGTGCAGTCAATTGTGGAAAACATTCCACCCCATACAGCAAAATTTCCAGCAATAATAGGTGCTCGCTGCCTGACTGCTACAACACTGCTGTGAAAACGTTGTGACCATCCACTAGGAGCATTACGAAAACCTTTGATACTTTGAAAGATTGTGCCACCTATGACACCCATAGTGAAGGCACCTCCACAGTCATCTACAATCCGCCAGGGACATGGCTCTCTTGCATATTCCTCCATACCTTAGAGACCTGTTATAATTAATAAAGATACTAATATAATACTTATTAAAAAATTCAGGTAATAAGTTGTCATAACTTTAACAAAATAACACGATTGGTAAAACAAAAATATACTAAGAATATAAATTCATTTTTAGCTCATAATTACATCAGCCACAAAGTTAACCTTAAAATTAAATAAAAAAGCGTGCTACGGAATAATCTCAGAAACAAATAAGTGAAATATTTAATATGTATCAAAGAGACAGAATATATTTTACGCGATGTATTACATAAACATATCTTAATAGAAATCACTTGTAAAAATTATCGTGGAGTTACGAAATAAGCGAGGTTAAAACAGCGTCTCACACAATTTTAAAACTAATTGTGTATAACAACTTGAAACATTTCACTATATGTCAAAAGCAAATTAACCTTTCCACACAAAACTGCTTTTTTCGATATTTACCGTGTAACTTATACGATATATGTATTTAATTGAAGCACAGGAGAAATCACACGATACCAAGAGAACCACATCTGAATAAAGGAACTAGGATTGGTCACCGTTAGATATTTTAAAGCCAGTGTTGGGAGCATTTATTCCCACGGAATCTCCTGCGCATGCGTCAATTATGTCACACGTATTAACTATTTAACATACTCGTGCTATTCAGATAGAACACAAGTCATAATGATATCATCATCCCAGGCAGAACAAAAATCGTGATGACGACAAAATGACATCAAAATGACGGGCATAATGACCGAATTATGATGAGAAAATTAGTTTCTCTCATCACATTGACGTCATTTTGATGTCATTATGATTTTCTGTTCTATCTGGGATATTACGTCAATATGACTTTATCCGTCATTTAAATATTACTCATAATAACTCATAATGACGCAAAAATAATGTAAAAATTACAAAAGTACTTGTATGTTGTATTATAAATATATAAAAGCCTTAAAAGTATCACTTAGTTCCTGAAATATTTATATCGCTTGAATATATTCTTACAGTTATATAAACAATAGAATAAACAAATATAAATAATACGTGAAAAAGAGGACGTCATTAGTCGCGTTTTCTAATAGAGAAAACAATCAGTGATCAATTAATAAGCAACTCAGGCAAAACAGAAAATCATAATGACATCGAAATGACATGAAAATGGCAAGAAAATGACCGAATATCAAAATGAAAAAAATGAATTTTTCGATTTCGATTAAATTTTACTATAAAAAATAGCATAAAAATGTGTACATTAATATTAATAAGACAGAATGCACAGTGAGCGTCTAGCGTGCTTCCCACTCTAGACGCTCTCTGCTATGAACAAGGGGGACCAAAGGCCAGAGAGTGTTTACAGGTTCATGGATTATTTATTAAATTAATTAACGATATTGCAATTTTTATTACAAGACACTAATCGCAGTCCAACATACACTCGCAATCATTTGCAATAACGCAAAATCGGTGTAATACTGATGTTTCACGCGCCTTTCGAGTTGCTACAATTTGTCGAATATACCTATATACACTACGTAACATGCTACATCATAAGTCTGATCGCTTACGCTTTATCAATATCGCCATTCGAACATCTCAACTAGACGAATATTACAAAACCCAGAGTCTCAAGAGTTCACTCTTTGGTATAAAAGAATGCTACCGTCACGCTACAGTAGTTTCTTCGAATCATAAGAAGAATCTAGCGTTTTCGACCGTTTCCCTAATCTTTGACAGAGAATTCGGTTAGACTTACTAAAGTGTAATAAAGGCTATCATATGTAAATTTAACAACATATATACGTATAACTAGAAAAGTCTTCATCTTTAGTACATATTAATATATATATATATATATATATATATATATGTATATATGTATATTAGTACATCCAACCGAATTCAATAGTAGTATCGTTACAGTAGATGTGTCAACGAATGATGTGTTATCCTGTTTTAAGGTCTAGATTCATTCCATATACTTTTGTTATTCCAAAAAGTAGTTATACAAGATTTTTTTTATTTAGAAAAGAAGTTAAGAGTTATCCGATATGATCTTTGAACCAGTCATTCGCTGATATATCTACCCATCTCGTCATACATTTAATAATAATAACTTGTTAACATTTCCATATTTACGTATATAGTAATGTATTATATATTGTTTTCACTTCTTTATTATGGCCATTTCTTCGTTACGTTTACTCTTTTTTTATGTTTTTCTTTTTTCTTTCCTCGTTTGTTGCGCGCTCAATCTAATAAATGTCTTCGCTTTCATAAATAAACATTTACAGAGTGAATGTATTATTACCATAATAATTATAATAAATACTAATTAATTTAGTACAAATTGACAATGCAAATATAGATATAGTATGATTAATTAATCGGATATGCTATAATTATACAGTATAACAGGGCACTTTAGACTTCCTAAACTATCTGCTAATTACAATATTCCAAAAACATTTTAAAATAAAAATTCTAATATTAAAATATCGAGAATACGATAATTTTTATGCGAGAAACGTTTGAAAATTAAATCCAATTAAATTGCTCCAGATTCGCGTGTTTAAATATTCAGCACATTGCACAATAGTGCAAATTTTATGAAACCTCATCATCATTTCATCGATATTGACATAATTCTAAATGCAATGTTATTAAAAATTACTTCTCGCATTGTTTTAATAGCAGATTTTCGAAGAATATGCTACTAATCGTTGACTTTCGACAGATGAAACATGCTACATACCTTTCATCAACATCCTTATCACTACATTTGTTGTTTGAGATGGTGTTGGCATTTTTTTCTTAAATTATGAGAAGTCTCTTCTTAAATCATGAAACGAGGATCCTAAAAATAACTATCTAGAGAAGACAAAGGCATTCATGACGTTCGAGCGCGCCCACGTACCTTTAATTTCGCCTAAAATTTCTCGATTGGGGGGTATTCACGTAACTATATATGATCAATTTATTATACGTACGTCTTGTATTGTCGTCGTCGCGCGGCTACGTTCATTAACGTAGCGAAACTGTGAACCAGACAATCGCGCCGGGATGTATAAGGCCACCAATCTCGCAATTCACCGTACGGGTTTCCCCGTTAAGAACAAAGAGTGCCTGGTTGGAGGGGCTTACCATGTATCGACCGAATATACCGCTTTGTATTATCGGTCTATTTGGGTTGCCCCACTTGGTGAGGTGTGGTGGTGTTGCCTTTCCCACGCCCGTTATCATTTCCACTTTGCCTATAAAAGAAGGATGTGCTATTCTCTGCTCAATATACGAAACCAAACCTAAACAAAACGCTTGTCTGACAATGAATCTCTCACTGAAAACGTGGTGAAACGTTTGATTTGTGCAAATTAACAAATTGGTCTTACCAGTGGTTAAATCCAAGAAGAGGATGTCTTCTTTATCTATCGACGAAGCGTATATATCGTAACTATGCGTTGTCTGCGACGGATAGAAAGCGATATCGCTGATATTTAACGTTGTTTTCACGTCGAATGCGAATTTTAATCCATCCGCTGCAAAAATGTCACGTAAAAACTCTTCGTACAATCAGGGGACCTTAAAGTATAGGTGATGGTGAAGTATTACGTAATATCTCTTGCACCACGAGGGTGACACCAGTGTCCTGCTTGTCAAGAGTAACCAGGTATCTGGAATCCGGAGAGACCGCTGGCTTTCCCAAGATGTTCGGTTTATGAGCGAGAACACTGTCAGTGAGGTAATCTAACAACATTTGACCGGTCGGGTGTGCAGTAATAGGTTCCTCGCATTCTAATATCATGAAGCCATCTGAAACGAAAGAGAATCTCATTGCTAGAGAGATTTATGAGAAGAGAAAAAATAGAAAATAAAAAAGTAAAAATACGTGTGTCACCCACATAGATCGGAAAATTCTACGCTCGCTGGTACACAATTGTATTCGGCCAAGTTGACGGTGCGGGTGTATCTCATATTGGCTAGGTCGAGTTTGTACATTCCATGTTGGTTCGTGTGGGTCACGTAACCATACTTGAATGTATGTTTTGTATCCTGCGGAATAACAAACTTTACAAACACATACGCATAAATATTCGAATATGTTACATTGTTTCATGGTTAAGATCACAAACACATACACGTTGCTGCGGAATGTATAGGCCCTTCACAAGATCGAATTGCGCATCGATAGGCTCCGGTCGCACAGTATGGTGTTTTTTTCGTTGAGCAGCTTCCTTGATCACCTGTATAGTCTTGATACCGACGTCCATCTCGCTCCTCCAGTTTAATATCCAGACGTAGTCGAGATTCTGCACGTACCACAGGTCCACGGGATTCTTATCCGTGACCACCACCTGGACATTCGTAATCATTGAAATTATTAGCGGTGACACGTCGTTTTCAGTGTCACAGCGACAGAGGGACGACACGCACATCAATTATCATCATCTGTACTTCGCTGATTACGAGCACGCGATCTTTATCCGGTTGACTGACGTACACGTATCGATTGGCGATGTTTATAGCACGTCCCCAAGAACACGGGACATTTCTCGGCCCACAGACGTATTCCTGAAAGTGTAAGTGTGGAAGGAAAGTAAGAAAACAATGAAACGAAAACGTCCCAAAAAGAAAGGGGAGAAGAGACGTAAATTCGATATTGCACCTGGGTACCAGGTATGATGTCCGTGGATCGAATCTCATGTAGCGCGTGACAAGTGGAGGGTTCGTACACCAAGATACCCCATTCGTGGAAGGAGAAAAATCTGCGCTCCTCTTCTGTTGCGACTGGAAAATCGCATCAGATCAAAGATAATGAAGATATGCAGAATATTGAAGATTACGATAACGTCATACGCAAGTTATACAGTCGATTATTTATTATCGACGACTATTATTGCAGATTAGCGTGATGAATTAATTTGTTGAGGAATCGCTCTTAGGCTCTTAGGATTTTCACTATTTGTCTAGTGAATGGTAGAGAGGACTCTGTCAATTTTCTGCTAAAATATTCTTTGGTGCTGAAATATTTACAATATCCATCACCGTCACGTTTCAATTATTCCTATCCAGAAAAAAAAACTTGACGGAGAGTCGACGGATTTCTGTCCAGACAGAACAGTGAGAATCCAGCCTTACTCGGCGTAGGTTGTTCCTGGATCACTAAGCTGCTGATGTCCCTCGTTAGTCCACCAGCGCTGGTCGCTTCGCACATGTAGGCCCCGGTGTCAGCGTAATCGACCTTTTTGATGAACAGCTTGGTGCCGTTTCCTACCACCTCGTACTTGTCCGGCGGATCATCGCTCAGGGGTTTATCATTCTTCAACCATCGTACCCGTGGAAGAGGCTCGCCCACTACGTGGCACCTCATCTTCGCTGTCCTCTTCGGCCGCTTGGACTGAAATTGCGGTGTCACCTGGACCTCGGGTATCGCTGAAACAGAGACACATCTCCGAGATTGCACAAAGCATCGTTCAACTTTCCCGAGCGGGACTCGAATCGGATCCCGGCGATCCGGGTTTTCATATTCATATCCTCGAGTACTCCTCTTGTCTGGAAAACTTACTGTATACGGTAAGCATGTGAGTCTGCACCACATCCTGGTTACTGAGAGCGTGGCACGTGTAATTGCCGGCGTGTTCCAATTGCACATTCGTCAGGTACAAACTACCGTCGTTGAAAACGCGAATCTGCAAAGTGTCCATTCACGATGTCTTGGCGTTCGGTAACGATCGAGGGGAGAAAGGTCGAGTTATATCGTTCGATTAAGGTACCTCCGGCTCGCTCAGCGTCTCCACGTCGGTGCCGTAGCGCCGCCAGACCAAGGGTGGAGGTGGTGTTCCGGTAACGTCACACTTAATCTCCACGTTGTCCCCGATTCGCGCGGATATGTGATTTACTTCGAGGGATTTATCCAGCGATACCACCGACACACCTGGATACAGATCAGACCGCCCGGGCTCTTATTATGTGTATGTTACACTTCGGGCGAATTGAATGGCGATCGTTCGCGCGGGCCGAACGCAATGTACACGCAAACTTTGCATAATAATTCCTCGCGGTCGTTTATATGCGCGATGGCGCTGCGGTCATGTGCGTAGTCTGACAATTTACGGTGACGCTATTGTCCGATGAACAATGCGCGTCCTGGCAAGACCATTATGACGTAGATTACCATAAGAAAACTATTCGCGATCGATTAATCGCTGTGTCGAAACTAGACGTGATATCGCGAGGAAAAGATTACGCCCTTAGGAAAATGCGACGAAAAGAGAAAAAAAAAAAAACAAATAATCCCTCACCGTGCTCTGCGCATGTCGACAATATTCGCACGGTGTTGCAGCACGTCTTACTTCCGCTACAAATCTCTCTTTTCATTTTGGTTACGATCGGTCCCATCTCAATCGCTTGAAAGAAGCCAGCATCGTGACTTTTCAGTGAAGAAATGAAAACTTCTCCTTATATAGCAATGAGAGTTTCGAGCGAGAAACGAGATCGCAATATATTCGAGCACGCGCCTTAACCGCCAAATGTTCGAGTATTGATACGACCGGACTTTGTCATTTTTGCGTGACTACGTCACGTAAAGGGTCTGTGAATGATCTTCTTCGTGTATATAAAATTTCCTCTTTATTTCGTAAAATAGCACACAGCGCCATCATTATATATCCGGATAAATATGCTAATGTGACGGGCTAGGTTCACGAGGAACGATAATTGCATTAGTTTGTATACATGCCATTAACATAATTATACTATATTCTCGTTGTCGTTGGCTCGCAAAAGGTAAATCCGCTATGATAAATGAGCGACGAATCGCAGATGATACTCACTATAAAGCTTGCTGAAGGCCATGTAAAACTCGTTAACGTTTAATCTGCCGTCACCGTCGGTGTCGTCGTAACTAATCATGTGGCTCAAATTACATCCTGCGCTCAGTTCCTCCATACTTTCTTCCTCGGCGATCTGAATATTCGGGAGAAATGTCAGTTAAGAACATTATTCGCCGCGTCGCGGTGTAATAGAAAAAATCGCGCTAATACTATTAAAATAGCGTTGATTCGATAAATCTTGTCTCGAGGAAATGCTCTTTCTTCCGGTTATTTAAACTCAAGGGGAGACGCGCCGCGTAACAAAGAAGAAACACCATGAAGAAAGATATATATCACCTGCTCGAGCTCTTCCCGCTCCAAATTGCCGTCATTGTTTCTGTCATAGTGAGAAAACATGATGCTGACCAAGTACTCTTTGCTGTGATTGTCCTCGGCCATTAATCTGGCGTGACTGTAGAGAAGCAAGTTGTCCTACGGCGAATAAACGAATCGAGATATAGGAGAAGTGCTAGTCCGGCGCTTACGTCGTAGTCATTTTTCTTGCAAGATTCGCCCAGGTGGGCGTAGTCGAGAGGCGTTATTGGAAATGAAGTCACGGATTCTTTATATATGGTTAGTTCTCTCCTCCCGCTTGTCTTTTTTTATCGTCGAAGCTACATCCGAACGCACACATCCGAGGAATATCAACGACAAATCAAGTCGTCCGCTTGTAAATTTCAAAGAAGTGAGGCAACTAGAGTAGCCTTGTATCGAAAGATTTTTGCCAAGTTTGCGCGCGTTTCGTATTGGAAATTATTATGGGACGCAATCGATGACATACTTTCATAATTTCGTATTCCTGCGCGCAACACTCGTCCGTGCCGTAGCCGTCTTTCTGCGGGATCGATTTGCTCGCTGGATGATGCTTCATCTTATTTCTGGACTTGGCGTATAAGATGTTTTTGCCTTTGGACGGGGTATGGTACGCGAAGAAATCCTTCCGTGCTTGCGCGCTGTAATTACCTGGAAATAACGAAACACCTCCATCGTGAAGCACGAGTTTTCACTGGTAGCGACGACACCGTTTTTTCGTTTTTCTCGCCGCTACAACTACACAACCCCCAACAAACCGGCCGGCCAGCTGTCAGGCCATAAATTAATAGAAAACTTCCAAGTTATTATCGAGTTTATAACGAAAGCAAAGTTGCCGCGCGCGACTTCGCCGCGGAAGATCGCGGTCCCACCTAAAGTAAACGTCGAATTAAAGAAGGCAGAAGTATCGACGAAAGTGTTCGGCCAAACCTCATTTTCGCGATAAGTATTATAAGACTCGCGCTGTGCGTGTCGTTTTGCTTCTCGGGATCGGCGCGCTCGCTCGCTCGCTCGCGCGAGTTAATTAACCGCTTGATTAAATTCCTGGCCGATGTTGAAGCGGCACCGCGGTGCGGTGTCCCGGCGCCCGAACGAAACGTCCGAGCTAAGTCGGGAAACTCTCCCCGTGACCGTTATCGACTACAGAGGGTTCGCGACTTACGCGGGGTAGTTAGGAGATGCATGTTGCCTAGCACGTGCTCACCATTGCTCAGACATCTGGAAAGCCGCCGCGTGGTCAACGACGTGCCGGTGTTGCACGCCGTGCGATGCAGCTCGCAGTGATTGGCGTACACCCTGCCGTTGCTGGCACAGACCGGTCGATGCTTCCGCGCGCATCTCCGAACGCAAACGCACACGGCCTCAACGGTCCCGCCGTCCGTCGTAACCTGGCACTCTTTGCCCGCGCCGCAATACTTCTCCAAGCACGGATTGCCATCTGAAAGGGAGCAGAAAATATCGTATTCTCGCTATTCTCGCTATTCCCCGCCGCTCTCTCCTCCCTCGCTTGAATCTGATATTCCGTAAAATATGTTGCGCATCGGGCGCAACGCGCGGCACCGTCCGCGCGCCCGAATGTTTCGCCGTTAGTTGTATGCGCGTACGTATACGTACGCGAAGGACACGATTGATGGCAGGATCTTACAGAAGCGGAAAAGCGGAATACTCGCGGCGCGGATGCATTCACGATAAAATTGCCGATCATCCCCGGTAATGCGCTTCCGTCGCGATAAATCACCCGGCGCAACCGTTAGAACGTACTCTTCGGAATGGTACCGCCCTGAATGCCGCGTCATTGATTCCGGATTGTTCGTATTAAGCAATTTTGAACTTACCGAACACCTCTCGATTTACGCGAGTACGAACGATAGTTTTTTCCGCTTCGCCGAGATATCGACGGCGATACCGTCACTGTAGTCGAGTAATGCCCATACTCGGGAATTTGCTTCTCCATCCGGTTCTCAATCCGGTACTCAAAGCACTACCGTGGGGCAATGTCTACATGCCATTTAAAATATATTGAAAACTGTGCGCTATGAATATCCAGATAATTTGAGCAATGTATCCGATTATCTGGGAAACACCTGAATCCGCATACAATATTCAAGCAGGTGCCCAATTTGGAAAGTACTTGAGTAGTTCTTAGGTATCTAAGCTCAGGTATGTAAGACAATAGGTTGCAGGTAATATCCTTCTATTAGAGACGGTCTGGCCCGAGTAAAGGACCAGGTAATTTACGCAATAAACGGTTATCCGGCAAGTTCCCCCGAAAAGTATAGGGTATCCATGGATCCCCATATACCCAAGTATCCCCACATATGATATTTATCCGGACACGATTCTCCGATAGTCGGTCATCGATGTTGAAGGACGCCGACTACTCAATCAGTGTTTGGCATGTCGTGACAAAGTAGAACTGCGCTACCGTAAAATACTGGGTTGCAAAAACTGCGCTCTGGCAAGTCTCTACGCACGCACACACGCACAAAGGTCGGGCATTCCGCTTGTTACGGCACCTTCTTTTATTTGCGTTGCGATGCGATACGAGAGCGTCGTTTTTCCGCAGTTTGACTATGTGCGCCTTTTTTTATGTCATAGCAATTTTATTGATCGTGGGTTTGGTATTTTACGGAGTCTTGGTGGTCTACCGGCTAGTTTAACGGTGGTACAATGCGCACGAGGCGAACGTGGTAAACGCGGTAAACGCGTAATACGTGTAAAGCGACCTGAGCGAGTTGCGGCCGGAGGTACAGTTTGATTAAACTTCCCGAATCGCGCAGCGATGTACAAATTACTAATTAACATGTACGTAGAGAGAGGAGAATCAGCGGTTACTCACTCTCGCGGGCGTGCCAGTTCCCCGAGTCTACGGATGCATCATCTATCGAAGCCGACGTTGTGGACAGGGCTTCCCCTGTGCTGGACGACACGCCATCGTCATCTGTTGCAGTAAAGTAACGATGTCTCGAGCGCTGGGGGCAACAAATGTTAAAACGTCAAAGATATTGCATCGAAGCTGTCACACGTTGTCATAAAGGATTCTGCAATATTTCGATACACTCGTACTTGTATTTTCTCAACGGAAAAAATAACGACCTCACGGGAGGTAAGGATTTCATCTTCTTATAATTAAAGCTGGAAAATCGAGATCATGATTAGCAGCTAGAGAAAAGGAAATTTCTACGTCTGGATATCCAGGTACCTAGCCGAAAGTCAGTCTCGCGAGCACCACCGGATTCAACTGAGTACCCGAGTACTCAAAACCAAGAATAATTAAGAATAATGTCCATCTGCTATCCGTTTGATTTCCGCAGGTGCTGATTTTATATTTTGTTTTCCAAGGATATTATCTACTCTTGTTTGCAAAACGGTTTAGACACAATGCGGCGCTCATCGAAGTATCTAATTGAGGACTACTACTGTAACGAGCTTACGTGGTAACCGGTTGTGACAAGAGTCGAAGTGAGGTAATGAGATGCATGAGACATCCAACATCACTGTTGCAACAATGAACTCGGCAACAGAGAAAATATATATTTATGGTTAAAAAATATTTTTTTCATACTCTCGTCCGTCGCAGATGGAAGTGTAAAGGCCAATATTTATACAGTGCACTGTCACTTCGGTTCCTATCATAAACGATTACTGCGCAAACCTGTCAGTAGTGACTCTCGATCGTGACAGTTTCGTGCGCTCCTTACTTTCATCCGTGATGAAAGTATGTAGACAGTTTCGCTACCAAGTGTACACTAATCGTGATATATTCACAAATACCCGTATAATCTACATAATAACCGGCTACTCGGGTACACGGGGTATGTCCGAAAAACTTGAGGACCCGGATAATATCCGAGTACTAAGGTAACCGGGTACTGACATCACTATATTAGCAAAGTTGCGGTGGCTTCTTCGTTAGACGCTGATGATCCGCGGTGCTTCTATGAGAAAGACGCTAAGCCTCCCTTCATCGCTGATGCTGCTTGCACCCTCATTATTCGTCGCCGACAATCTGAAGTGCTTCGAATCACCGGAAGTTGACCATGTGCTCGAGGAAACGGGGGTGGTTACGCGAGCTTGTCGGTTTCCGAAACGAGGTCAGAGTTATGTGCACCGACCCTTCATCGACCCTGCCGGGTGCACTGACGGTATCGCACGGGTGAATGTAACACGGTGTCAATGTAAACAGATAAACAGGCGTGGATTACGCCGGCTAACGGCCATTATCGAAGTTGTGCGAGAAATCCGCTTCTTGGAGCAAAGCCAAGAAGATCCACCGTGAAGAGAGTGCTCATCTCGCGGTCGTCAACTCTCAGACGAAGGTTTATATGGGTAATGATGCTCATGAGAGAACGGAAGAGAAAGATAGATAGAGAGAGAGAGAGAGAGAGAGAGAGAGAGAGAGAGAGAGAGAGAGAGAGAGAGAGAGACGAAAAGATAGGTAGAAAATATAACGAGAAGTTATGCGTATAATCGGACGATAAGTTGCGCCGCGACCCAGCATAAATGCTTTGCCGGCGAAATTCTAATTTTACCTGCATCTATCTTTTGTATATAATCTCTATTATACTATACATTCCGGATATAATATTTTAGAGTAACATTCGTTTTCTTTCTTTTTTAAAATTTACTTTTGTATATGTACAATTTTTATTGGAGAGATAATTCCGCCATATGATAATCAAGAATTTACTATAATTGTGGAAGCGTGGGAAAATTAATTAAAACTAATTGTAGCAATTATGTTAGATTTAAGTTCGAACATAGTAACGAGAAAATCCTTGTTAACCATTTAATTGCTACGTTGACGTTTAACCCAAGAATTATTGAAGTTTTCTCTTTTTCTTTTTCTTAATCGCAATTTATGACTTAATTTAAGATCGTTTTATAGCAAACCTGGTCTATCAACATGCGCACAATAATATCAATCTGAATGAATCTGAATGAGAAAATCCTTGTTAACTATTTAATTGCTACGTTGACTTTTAACCCAAGAATTACTGAAGTTTTCTCTTTTTCTTTTTCTTAATCGCAATTTACGACTTAATTTAAGATCGTTTTATAGCAAACCTGGTCTATCAACATGCGCACAATAATATCAATCTGAATGAATATCTTGGTCATTTTAAGGGTCGATAAGTAATTTCTCTCAGCAGATAAAAAATAGAGTGATAAAATGTTCTAATAAAGATATACACATCGATTTGACGTCGACAATTTTTTTTGCATCTGGAATTACATCGACATCAAATGGTTAAAAACGCATAGAAGCACAATAGCAATTACCTTGTAACGAAGTATATCAGAACCGAGTGCAGGAGATATATAGGTCGAGACGATCGAAAGCAACAGGAAATAAAAAGTTGCGAGGCAGGGCTTTAGTCGCATCTGAAAAACATATCAGAAATCGTATAAAGTCGCTGTTAAATCCATTCTTTCATATTATCTGTTTTATTGTTATAGTTTTTTTTTCTGAGGTAGGTTTATATAAAAGATGTAACTTGTAGAAACAACGTGTCAAACTTGTCAAAAATACTATGCAAAAGTGTGATCTTATAATACATATAGATATATACAATTGTTGTTTATATTAGTAGACTTAAAAGAAAGGTAGAATCCATGTCGATTAATATAAATCACGTAAAATTTAACATTCGTATTCTCGTTAAAAAAAAAAGGATAATTTATAGTCTTTTTTTTTTTTTATATCAATTTATTTTTATATTTTTTTCTCAAGACATTTCGTATAAATACATATACTGTTTGGGCTCTTTATATTATAATTTGAATTTTCAATTTTTATATTTAAGCTAAATAATATTGATATATCAGAAAAATTACACATATACATAGTGAATTATCATACCTAAATTTATAAAATATTCTTATTCTCTTAAATCGGATCAGGAGAAACTTCATAGCGTACAACAAATGGCATTGTCGAGCTCGTCAGGAATGCGATTCCATTCAATACCGAAAATAATTCGTACTTTCCCCAATTATCTAACGGTTACTCGTAATTTATGTCCTCCTAATCCAGTCTGACTACTAGACTACTTCCAGTTATCAACCCCGGAAAGAAAAGGGAGGAAATCGCTGCGGTTCTGTATGTCTGAAAATTTACAGTGGTATATTCCGGAGACGTTTACACGGTAGAGGTTGGCCCGTCTTAAATCTTCCAGCCAACTTCGAACGTGGCTCGTCTATATTTTATACTCGCCCACGCGGGCACTCGGAAATTTACCGTAAGAATGGCGTTTGTATGCGAAATGCAAGATATTGTGCGAACGCGCGACTCTCAGGGAAATATATCGACTTCAACGTGTAGTTGGCAGGCCTTTTAGCGTCAGAATAGAAAGAATTAACATCGAGTTACGGCTACACGATGTGATAACAATAACAGGCGACAGGACGAGGAGGAGGTGGAGAATGTTTTATCATTTCCCTTGATAACGGTAACACGCGGCTCTCCCTTATGATACTAAACACATCGCAATAACTTTTTTATTTGTGCGATATAATATTAGAGTTGCTTGGGATGATATCCCAAGCAACTCTAATATTATATCGCACAAATAAATACGTTTCGTCAACGAAAAAAGATGCTGCTTAAATGTGGAAACATAGATCTCTCTCTCTCTCTCTCTCTCTCTCTCTCTCTCTCTCTCTCTCTCCCTCTCTCTCTCTCTTGTCAATCGCCTTAAAATCGCTGGATTCGAGGCAATTTTAGAGACAGATGTAAGCCAGGAAACGTCAAGGTCTCAACTTCGTGTGTTTGCGAACCACTGCCCCTGGCCTTTGAACGATCGCTGATGATAGAATACCGCTGTGTAGTCTTTTTGGGAGGGTCGTCCGGCCTGTCTTGGTTTGCTGAGCAGTTGGGTAGCAGTAGGGACGCGCCGGCAATACAAAGGGCATCTTAGTTCTCCTTTGATCTCGGTTTGGTACGCACGTCTTCCTTCGGAAAACGAGTGCTAGCCGGAAAACCGGGTTGGATACATCTCGAGTGGATCCTTGAGTCTCCTCCGTGTTCCAAGATCTGGTGCATTGTGACGATTACACACCGTAAGTCGTTTAGTCCACCGTTAATACTCCAAAGTGAATACCAGGCTTGTCGTCTGTCCAGACTTGTCGTCTGTCACTCTCAAATTCTGCTGCTGGAATCTGTCCAGAACTCCCAGATACGCGTGTTGGGATAATTATTACCGCAAGTCGTGTAGCCTATCATCAGTCAGCCAAGGTGAATATGATACCAAGTGCCGCGATTCGTGGTTTGCTATTTTCCAATTCCGCTGCTCGTTTTGCATTCGACACACGAGATTTTTATTTGATCCTTGTTATTATAATACGTTAAACACGATTTTACATAACGCCCGATAAATAAATATCTTTCTCTTCCATCATCATGTTGCATCTGGGAATACCTCTATCTTCCTGAAGCTTGACGATCGCTCGGTCGTAGGTCTCAGAAGGGTGCTTACGGACTAATCTCGGAAGAGCCGCAGATTCTCAGGAGGTGGTACGATGTATCGTTTACTCATCGGCTGCATTGCGCTACTTAGCGTTCACGATCGCTCGTTCGTCTTGGCACCGCCACCTCTTCCGTCCAATGGAGATTTCGAAACGTTCCCGTCCACCGACAGGAATTTGGACGGTGCGCAGGACGCGTCTACGAGCGTCAATAATCCCGAATCCGGCTGTCCATGCTTGACATCGGTCAATAGCACGGCGATCCCCGGACAATCGGGCTGGTTGACGCAAAGGCAGCAGCATCTCGAGCAACTCTACAGCCGGAACGTGATGGTGCAAGGCATGATGTGCACATGCAACGTAGGTCTGCGCAGCCCGATGAGGGACGATTATCATTATTCGGGAGGTATTGGCGCGCACAAGCTGCACACGAGGGCTGTCACGTGGAACGACGCGAGGAAGATCTGCAACGAGGAAGGGGGTCACCTCGCGATCATTAATTCCGTCGCGGAAGCGCACGTAAGTACGGCCGATGCCGCGTAAAGTGTTCTAAATTCTACGTCCTGCTTTAATCTCCACGCGATATCTCGCCTCGGACGTGAAGAAAGCAGCCGAAGGGTCCTGCGCGCATCGTCTAAGCTAATTCCTGCTGAATCGCGATTTCGCTCATCGCGAATTCGTTCCGTTAGCGGCCGACGCTAACGTCGTATCCCATTGACCCTCTTTCAGGTATTACTGGAGATATTTAATCACTCAGGACCGATCAAAGGCGCAGTGTATCCTGACGAGGCCTTCCTAGGCGTGCATGATCTTTACAAAGAGGGTGATTGGGTCACGGTATTGGGAGATTCTTTAGCAAAAACCGGTTACACCAGGTGGAGCGACAAATGGGGTGGCCAGCCCGATAACGGAGGCGGCAGACAACATTGCGGCGCTTTAATGAAAGAAGGCGGCATGGACGACGTCGCGTGCGACGTCCCGTTTCCATTCCTTTGTGAACTGCCACTGATGCAAGTTTTGCACTGAGAACAAAATCCCGGCGCGCACATCCCGCGTCAAGGATTTACAGCGGCATCGACGATGCAGCAATGCGAGCCGGTCGAGTGGTATTTATGGTCCCGATTTTGCCGGATCCCGACGGTTTAAATCACCTACGAAATAGAGGAGCGCGCGCGCACGCGGAAAATGGGGGAGCAGGGGACGCAAAACTAATTCCGAATGCGTATCATATTCGGGCCGCGAATTATAGTCATCGAGAGGGACCGGACACCGCCGAACGGTGGACGGTATAATTGCTATCTTTGCGTTACATCAAATTCGTCGAAATATTAACGATAATGTAATCCATTCAAATCGTTACCGATAGGATAGATAGTGTGTATCCGCAAGTATTATTATTGTTCATGGTATCGCTATTATCGTTTATATTTGATATATGCTAACCGTAGGTCTGTAAGTCAATCCTTACATTTTGATTACATTTTTTTTACACGCTCGAGCCAAAAGTTTGTGTTATAACTGCCTGCGTAGTGATTTATAGAACATAAATAAATAAACATATGCGTGATCGTTATGCGGCACGTTGGCGTATAAAATCGCGATATTCCCTCAAATAAGTCACGTTACCGCGCACCTGTAATCGGCACTCGATAAAAAAAATGCGCGTATTTCGCGTTAATTAAGATTTAACGTTCGAGTTGTACGGCTCATGAATCGCGTGATTGTTGACCCTGTTTCTCTCGCCATTCTCATTTTATTTTTCACGCACTTTCCACGCATGAAATACCGCGTGCACATATTTTCCGCTCTTATAAGCCGTGCTCCGCTCTTAGCAGCGATGTGAGAAAATTGAATTTGCAAGTGAACTGCGTCTGAAGCAAGAGAATTATACAGTTTACGAGTTGCCCCCGCAGTTACGGATAATCCGTCCGAAAACAATTGCACTCGTGCGAATTCGCCTTATCTTTTGATTTCGAGCGAAAGCGGGCTTCATGAGATATCGATATGTGCATTTCGAGGTGGTGCAACAGGCGCTGGCTTCGACTGCTTTCAGGTGCGCCGCTTCACTCGAGCAAATTACATAATCGATGGAAATAAAATACCAATAAACAATGGCTCGCAAGCGCTCCAGTCTCAACGTTGTGTTAAATCCGTCGTAATATTAATTGCGGACTATGCGAGAGGAAAGGAATGAATTATGTAAGATAACGGTGAACGCGCAACGTTACGGTTTGTTAATTAATCAGCAATGTCATCGCTTATCGTGTCGAATGATCTGCACCTGATGATGCTGGAGATTGCTGTGGAAAATGTAAGTAAATATGTCTCAAGCTGATAATCGGGACACGGCGATTGTTAAATTAAGCGATATTTTATATCAAGATTCTTCACGTCGATTCGTATCGATCGTTTATAGGTTGTAAGTAAATTAATAGTATATCGGAAACATGTAATTTTCATCCTTCTTTACCATGTTAACATCATAATAGCGTTGCATTTACGGGAATCATCTCTTTGGCATAATTAAATATAATCAAAGTAAAAAAAAAAAGAATAAGAAGAAAAATTAAATATGAACAGAACAGAAGAGGAAGGGAAAAAAGAGAGAGAGAGGGGAGACAGAGGGGGGGGGGGGAGGAAACCAGAAAGAAAGAAAGAAAATCTCCACCCCCCAATTTATTGTGATTTCCTCGTCTTTTTTCCTCCCCTTCGTTCTTATAACACAAAAAATTGATATCTGTCGAATATTCGCACGCAATGACAGCTCTTTGTCCCGTGGGCATCCGAGTTCGACAAGGTGATCTTGAAGAAAACGTCCATCGTGTTTCGCATGCTGGACGATGAATGGACGTCGCTGTCGCCAAACCGGCGTGATTACCGTTCTTATCGCGGCTCCAGCGAGGAGAACGAGAAGTTTTACGGCGGTAGATCCGTCGTCTTCTGCGTGTCAGCGAGCTTCTTCGAGGAAGAAGCCAGCGGCATCGATGTCCAACTCCACGTACGGAAGGAAGTGTGCAAGTATTTCGAGATGGATTCGTGCCAGAGCGTGGGCTTCGTCATTGTGCCGGTTAATGATCTTCTGAGTGGCATCAGGAAGCAGATGCGAGAGCGGAACGAATTGGCGGAACACTTGTCAGACTTCTACAGGCGACAAATTATCTCGAGGTAATGGAACCGAGAATTAGAATACTGCTCGAGGACAGGCAGACTTATTTTCTCGTCGGGGTTTCGTTCGATCGCCTTAGTTTCCCGACTATCGCGTTGACTACTAGAGAGAGCTATATGGTGTCGAGAAACAGCCGACAATGCAGATACATGTGCATCTTATTTTGTCGCGGCTACGCTACGAAAACATACGGCGCAAATTTCGAGTTATTTAGTTCCGTATCATTAGCGAGCATAATTAGTTACACACCATGCTGGACTCCGCTTAACCGTGACACAATCCCGGGGGTCTACTAAAACGCGGTGATTGTGATTTAAGGTCCACGATGGGAATTCACACTTTGCTGGACGAAAACTTGCAAGACACCGCGGCCACAATCTCGCTCTACATTCGGATCAGTTATCTCGGCAAAAGTGTCATAACGGAAATCACACGTTTCGAAGATACACGCGTATCATTTTACGCTCGCAGGCAGCCAGACGAGAAATGGCCATATCACTTGCAACAGTTGACACTGAAGAACTTGCAAAGCGGCCATTGGGACAGTTACTTGCCTCATCTTCCTCGTGGTCGTTTAATATGTCGCTGCGAAGAACTCGTTGAAAAGGAGGCCGTCTATCCAGCCGATGATCAGTCAATGACACAAGTTACAGTCGATCAAGTAAGAGCATGGTCGGGTTAATTTATAAAAAAATTTATTAAATAAAATTTTTAAATACATATATGCATTGTATACTCGATGAGAACAAGGATGCAATTATGTCAATAATGCGTCCAGTCACCACTGGCGTCGATAATTGCCTGGCATCTGCGAGGTATGCTTTCGACCAAATTGATGGCGATCCGACGAATCTCGCAAGATAACTGCTTCAAAGTGTACGTGCGTTTTCCACGAAGCTTCCGCTTAATGCCCACACATTTTCAATGGGATTTGCATCGGACGATTGCGACGGCCAATTATTTGGATGTCCTTGCCGTTACAATACGCCGTCAATTTGGTCGAAAGCATGCCTCGGAGATGCCAGGCAATTATCGACGCCGGTGGTGACTGGACGCATCATTGACATAATTACATTCTTCTTCTCGTCGAGTACAATGCATATATGTATTTAAAAATTTTATTTGATAAATTTTTTTATAAATTAACTCGATCACGCTCTTACTTGACCGACTATACATCAGTAACTCGTTTAACGTCTCGATTAACATCTCAGTTAACAACGATAAGGATACGCGATAATTTAATCGTCGATTAATTTAGAGACACTATATAACATCAAGGCGTTACCTTCGGATTTTTTATTTTAGAAAACGAGGGAAGGAAATGTTTAATTTTAAGCCGGGAATGAAACTCTCTGTTGTGCTGACAGATCAAACCGCAAAATCCGATTTATTCTACCTCTCCGATTTATTCTACCTCAACAATTAGAATAGAGTTTTTTCTACATGTGTATACGCGAAACAAACGCATGATAGAAACAGAATTCCGATATTTTTAGAATAAAAATTTTTTTTAAATGTACGATACGTTTCGTCCGTTTTTTTTTTTCCTTTAATTCATCGAGACTGATGCAAAACGAACCGATTGCTTAAACAAATCTAGGTAAATATAACAAACGGTAGAAACAAGAGAAAATTTTGCAAATGAATTTACGCATTGACAACTGTTAATAGCAACAAGATATAGCTGAACTCGAGATAGCTGGTCGGTTTAATGTAATCGACATGTCAACTATTGCGGATGTCAAAAACGGCAATACAACGACAATACACGGCGATACAACAGTAATACATGGCGATACAACAGCCGTTGATATAATCGCAACAACCGGTGACGTTGATATGATCGCAACAAAAATAACTGCCGAAGGCAAGGCAGCTGCAGTGATTGACGCTGATGCAATCACAACATCTGAAAATGCTGCAGCTCTATTAATGGCAAGCAATGACAGGACGATCGATAATGATCAAAGAGGTATGCCATATCGAAAATTTCATTAATTTTGCTAAGGCAAAAAAGAAAGAAATATATTTTGAGAAAACGCTTTTGTCCCATGTCGTTCGGTAAATCTTCTCGACATAAAATGTATCGCATTAAGCATCGGAGAACAGCGAGAGATATGTTCTTGAAATAGTTAAATTCCCTTTTCAGCATTCTGCATGTAACGCTATATAATAAAACATAAAAAGCATGCGGCTAAAATATGTATATATTTGTTTATTTAATTCCGTTTGTAAATTTACACGAGAATAACGCGAATAACGTAAAAGTAGAAATAAGAGAAGAAGAATGAGATTTTCTTTCTTGTAGACGTCGAAGGCAGCCCTTCTGCCATTGCAGAAGCGGATGCCGCTGCCATTGCAAAAGCGGACGCCGCTGCCATTGCAGAAGCGAAAGCGAAAGCGATAAAGGACAAGGAAGCTCTAAGAAAAGCTGCGCTGAGCAAATCGAAACGTGGGGGCATGGCAACAATTGGTATCGCGGAAGGAAGGAAGAGAACCTATACTCCATCGCCTCTATTCCCGCGTCTGCAAACGTATCCTTTGTGCTGTCGATTGGAACCCCATCCAACTTGTTTCAACTACTGCCTCGACATTTCACCTTGTTATTGTTATAGGATGGCGTGTCCTCTTCAATATTTTCAATACAATTCTTTCTGTGTGTAACGAGTTCACGCGCAGTGTGACCTCTGTTATTCGCAGCAAGTTCGATCTGTTGAATTGGCTCTCTCCTTCTCCGCGGCCCCCCCTCTCCTCTCTCTCTCTCTCTCTCTCTCTCTCTCTCTCTCTCTCTCTCTCTCTCTCTTTCTCTCTCGAACTCCTGGGGATTACGAAACTTTCGGAACGTCCATCCGTAACTTAATATCTGCTTTTTTTAACGTTATACTTCTCATTTCGTATATTTCTATTTAAAAAGAGTATTATTCCCCTCTCGCGCGCGCCTTTTTATATCTCCTTATCTTTTCATTCGTAGAAAAATTTCTCATCGGCTCTTTCATCGGAACCAGTCGATCGACGACCGCCGATTTGATTACTTCGGCTCCGTCAATGATATTACCCGGCACTTTTCTCAAATTAGTATTCGTTCTGCCTGCGTCTTTTTTAGATTAACATTATTCGCCGGATTGCAGATACTAGAATAGGATTAACGGTTACCCGACCGACTTTCTTTGACTACTGACATGACTGCGTTTTATACCTATGTGACGCAACGTTATACCATGTAGCATGCAATACTACTGCCGATTGCAACCCCATGCAACTTGCTTTGATTTTCGTGGCTGAAAGATGCATCGCGTTTGACTATGGAAACCCAATTCAAACAATTGACTAAGCAACACTATCAATTCCAATGAGAGAGAATGAGATAAGAGAGGAGGTGGAAGGAAGGGAGAGAGAAATTTTAGAATTTATAAATATTGAACAAGTTTCCCGTGGACCTTTTAGATTACGTTACAATAGTTAACAAGGAGAAAGTCTATGCCATTGCATTCTATATCATGGCGGTTTATCGTTAAAGAGGTCAAAATAAAAGGCATAGAACAATGCGTATTATCCAACAGCGAATGAGTCTGACGTAAACTATAAGGAATCAATTATATCCAATTCCGTGCATTTAAATACCTACATTTTACTTCGAGTTGTTTTTCTTTCGCTATTACGGGTTTTGTGACGTAGGCAATTCACGTATCAAGATCCAAGTGCAGGTGGAGATTGTAGTAAAGTGGAAGATCAACTTGATTAAGTGAAATTTATGAATCGAACAAGATACCAGTATTTCTGTCCAATTGGCAAGAAATACTCCATATTTTAATTACTCTTGAGAAAATGACGAAAGATCTTTTCCAAAAACAAATCGAAACTGTTTTATCTCGATCGCGTCGTTGAAAGATAATTGAATTTTAATCGGGAGTCGATATGTTAGCAAAATAATATAAAAAATGTAGCAATAGTACCAATGCTTTCGAATAAATACTAATCGTCATCAACGTGAAAGACTAATGTATCAGAAATAAAACGATTCGAACATATTGGTGTCAACATCTTTTAAGATTCTCGTTTTACACAGTCACAAAAATGCTCGAATGACCGTTGCATTTAGAGAACTCGTCGACACTTTGCACAGGCGATGATAATCGGATTCCATATAATGTTAATACGAGAGCAGTTTGAAAAGTTCTCGACTTAACAATGAAAGAAAATTTTTTTGCCGTGAAATATGTTATATTTTTCAATATAATCTCCTAAAACTTCAATACATTTATTCCAACGTTTTCCCAATAATTCAATACCGTCATTAAAGTGTGATTCCGGAAGGTTCCTTTCGCTCTGGTGTATAGTGATGGATCCAAGTTTCATCAACAGTTATGAAACGACGCTTGAAATCCATTTTATTTTGCTTAAAACGATCCAAACACGCTTGAGAAATATGCATTCGAATGCGTTTTTGGTCAATTGTTAGCAAATGCGGCACCCATCTTGCACAAAGCTTTTTCAAATTGGTGCTATTACTCGAATGATTTGACAGATCGAATAAAATTTGACATGGGTTTATCAGGGATGCCACTTTCCAATACAATTATAGTTTGACAGTTTCTAATGCCATGTATGTGTCAAGTCGAGAACTTTTCAGGCTGCCTACGTATAATGTTAGTCACACAAGAGATCATGGACAACCATTCACACTTAAAACAATACAGCAACACATGGCGAAAGTAGACTTTTGGATTCTCCGTTTTCCATACTGATTTCTAAGAAAATGGACTTGCATTTAGGAATGTCTGCAAACTTGTTTGGCGAGATCCGAGAAAGTTGACAAGATCTGGAGCCTCACTGTTCTCGCTCACACTGATTACATAGAAATGTGGAGCGCCCTAAATATGAAATGAACTTTTCGAACAACCTAATAATACAAAAGATGAAAATCATCCCGCAGCCTAGTCGAACGATCAAGTTGAACGATCAAATGCAGTAAGCCTTTGCATTATTCCACCATGAAGGGATTCTTTGCATCACAATGCCGTGTTCTTACCGAACATCTGAAGGGAAAAGCCTGTCTGGCTGTTTCATCGTAAAGCCCGTTTCATACTCTCCTCTCATATTACATAAGCTGCACCATTATCGCAGTTTCTATCGATCTATCGCCTACTTTTAGCAAGTTCTTTCAAACCGGCTGCATTATTATTATATCGTCATGTAACGGTGAGCGCGCGCGCTCGTATGTGTGTGTCGACATCAACGGATGATTTATCAACGTCGGAAAAAGAAAAAGAAATTAAAGAGCACGATAATAACCGACATTTTATAGAAATCGAATAAAGAGTAGGTAGGAAACTGGAATAAAATAGCTAAAAGCTTCGGGAGACATCTTCATCTTCTAGAGATCTCTAGATCGATCTCTAGAATTCATCCCACGAATAGTGGCGCGCATTCTCCCCTCCACGAGGTGCGGCCGATTTTTAAGCGATAGTCAAGATCCTTTACCGGATCCCTTATAAACACCGTGCTACCATACGTCGCTTCACGAGACGTTCTCCACGAGTTCAACGGAAAGCGATGTGCACGTCGACACGTCCCATATAGTCACAGTTCTGTCTAGTTTGTCCGATAGCTTTTCCAAAGTCGCGCATTTACGTGCCTGTCGATCCACCCTCGCAGTAAGTACAGCACGCGCAACAGTTACCATTAATCGCTTAGGAGCACCGGTCTTCGATTGTGCAGGGTGATGCGAACGCGAGTTTCGAAGTTAACAACGAAAACTTTTACCCTTACATGGAAATAACGCGTATCCGTGCGAGTGATTTATATCGCGCTGTTCCGCTCAACGGCGAAAATGTCGGGGTGCGGATACTGCGGACGCGGGACTCGCTGTTTGTGCGTTGTGTGCACACACACACACACACACACAGACACAAATACATTCGCAGAATTTTTCGCAAAATGACTTATAAGTGAAACTTGCCGTCCGGGCAAGTTCGGGATAGATAAATTCTTTTGAAATTCTTAAATCGGAGCGCGTCGACAGAATCTCGCCGTTGGCGGACAAATATTATTCCACGCACTGCATCTCTCTCGTTATCGTCTTAGTTGCGATATTAATCTATCCTGTTACCTCTCATGAGATTGTCACGAGTCTATCGCGCGCAAAATGAATCGGAATGAAGAAGTTTGGGGTTGCCATTCACGTTACATTGTGCTGAGCCGAGAGAAAGGGCAATGTGACCGAAAGTTTCGGCATACTCGGCGCGGCTTTACAATTTCGTTGCATTTTGCATTAATACCGTTAACACCCTGCACAGTGTCCCATTAATAAAGTAACTTTTCAGATCCCCCGCTACAGTATATACTGCAAAATTTCATTTGAATCATGACTCGGTTCTCTCGTGCCCGATCAGCTTTCATGAATCGGTTTATGTTGTAAAGCATATCGCCGCGAATGAGCTAGATACCATTACAGCGCTCTTACACTCTTGATGAATGTTCAGAACACCGCTCGCTACATTTTCGAACACCGAAATTGCTGTTCCTGTACAAAGCCTTTCTGGTGTATATGCAGCAGCCGAGATTGTCAAAGCGGGCGAAGGCTCGGCAATAAAGGTCGCGCGTATTGTGCACAGTTACACGTGTCCGAACGGCTTTTACATAATGTACAAAAGAAGCAAAGCGCCAAGGTGCATGTGTGTATGTGCAAATGTGTGTATCGACTGTTTCAAGTAGAAGATACATCTGAAAAATCGCCCTGTTTGTATGCAACCTATGCGAGAAAAGGGCCCAAGGCAAACTCGGAAACTCCGGTTCTGACCCTATCGGCATACCGTATCTGTCGTTCACGAGAAGCCGGAATAGACGAAGCCGGAATAGAGTATAATCGAAAGGCAGAGAGAGTGATAGAGTAGCAACAGTAGCACTTATCGATATAAGTTCCAACATCGATCCCGTTACGTCGCAATCGCAAACGCGAATAGATATATTTTTGGAAAATGAACCACCGGCATGATTTTCCTCTTATCGGGCTGTAACTTTGACGGGGCTCTCGTCCAAGTTGCCGATATATCAACCCGATATGTCAAAGAGCTCTGCCATGTCATGCTCCTTCAGAGGTTAGAAAGGGCCACTTCTATGGCGAAGAAACGATATTTCGCACATTGAAAAACAGCTCGCAAACAACGTTCCTACAACCATTAGCAACGTCAACTTCGGAACTACCCGAATATCTTGTTGCTAACCGGGTATACCGGGATTTTTCCGGCTGTTATCCGGATACTCGAGAGTATCCAATTTTTTATTCATATTATTTCTTCTTTATTCTTCGGCTCATCCTGTGCACAAAAATATTAAGGCAAGCAAATAAAAAATCAATACTTTATGAAATCTTGATAATTTTTATATCAGAACACAAAAGAAAATTCGGAAATATATGGCAGAGAGTATCGACTGCTTCGTTTTATTTTATAAAATTCCACAGTTTGTTGACTACGCGAATATCCGCAACTAGATAGTACTAATGATGCTGGGATATCTTTATAGCAGATTACTTACATGCCCGAATACCCCAATAACTTTGGTTACTCGAAGTATTCGTGTAACTCGGATGTAATACTCGTTGAGCAACCGGACGATAGCTAAGATAACTAAGAGTGGATGAGCATAAAAATACTCGGTTGACGTGGTACTGGAGTGCAGAAGTAAACACCACGTTATTAAGTGAATTTGCGCCGAGTTACTCGAAGCAGTTCATGTGCACACTTTCGCGTGTAACTTTATGGCCGCTTGCACGATCATACTTTCTTACCCGCTGTTTCGAAACCGAACGCGATTTAGCGTGCATTTTCGTTGGATTAAGCCCGAGGCGGAATTACAGGAAGGGGATTGTAAACCGCGAATCCAGAGCGGCGATGCAGGCGGCAGCGATAGCGGCGCATTATCCGCATTTACACCAGCTGGAAATCCCCCGGCTGGTTCATACATATTAACGTGTAAGTCATTGCGGCGGCAGTGGCGCGCGGATCCTTACGATCTGCACGTGGCAAACAAAACGGCCGGGAAATCGCGACTACGTTTTACGGAGAGCGCGCCCATTTTCCGCTATTATGCCGTAAATCACAACCCGAGGGCCGCTTGAAACGCGAGCGGACGAAGCGCGAATAAAGGAATCCGGCGGAAGGACAAAGTGTTTGCCAAGATGTTGCCGCGATCGCGCAAATTACGTCCCGAACCAACTAAAATGGCCAGAGGAGTCGTCTTTTGAGGACGTGTCCACTTTGAGGACACCTGTCTTGGGACATGAGTCACACGCCGCTTGATCTTCCGTAGGAAGATTAAAGTCTTAACTCGGTGGAATATGTAAAGAGGAATATGTAAAGATGGGCAGAGTTATAGCACACGCTCACGCAGAAAGAGAGAGAGAGAGAAATGCGAGGTAAAGTACGTCCTATATTGAAGTCTCATGAAATCGGTGGAAGAAGATATATAAGACGTAGGCACGCTCGACTTGAACTTTAATAAAGCGTAAGCGTAAAAAATCGGTTAGCGAACGCTACAGCTTACTGGCGAAGAATTAAGGACGAAGAATGGCTCTGCGAGGAACGAAAGTCGGCAAAAAGAAGGCGAATTCGAGCTCCCGTCGCTCGCTTTTTGATGTTCCCCTCTAATGAACGCTAATATTACCGGCCTAATAATCGTTTGTCTCCGTAATGCGTAAACGATTATCTCGTGACAAACATCTAAAATTTTTCCAATTGGCAGTATGTCGGCTAATCACGGCGAAAATTCGTATACAATACGTACTGATCGTGGAAAGTGGACGAATAATCATCGTGGGGCGAGATTTTATACGTTTTTGTGCATACACTTTCACTGTGCACTTCAATCGAGTTTTTATCGATTGGAAATTGGACACGTTGCTGTTATAACAAATTGCCTTCATTCGAGTAAAATGCACTCGCCACAGGTGTTCCCGCAAACGGCTGTTTAATCGAACGAATCGGGTGCATTTTGAGATTCATTGTCGCACGTGAGCGCATACGTTGTTATCCGTGCAAGCAAAGATGGTAATTGTAAAGTCATATGCAAGAAAAAATATATATCGTTAAATAAACATTTGGATTTAAAGTGGATCTCTAATACGTGCACATTATAATGTGCCATGTTTATGGCACATTATATGGGATATTAATTGTATGTGCGTGTGTGCAAAGATTGAAGCTTTTATTAATTATTTTATTCATTTAAGGTACAACTCCTGTTTAGGGGACCCACCTCCGATGATCTTGTCTGTTAGATTATCAAGGAGAGACTCTCCTGAATAACAATCAAAAGGTCTTAGCTGTCGCTCATTGTTTATTAAAAAATAATTAACAAAAAAGTTTCGTAAATAGAATGTAATTTTCCGATACTGTGTAATACTTAAGGAATGAGCACATGCTTAAGGAATGAGCACATATTTAAGGAATGAGCACATGCTATACATGTTCTATACATGAATATATTCATCGTACTACTGACCTACAACTTTATCTGTTCTTTTTAGTCGCAAAAAATTTTTTTTGGTAATTATGCAAAAATAGGGACCATCTCCCGATGTCAATAATTTTCACATATGTTATCACATATGTATATGTTATCAAGGTTCTGTAATGTTGTTCTGTAATGAATAATGTTCTGAAAGTTTTAACCCGCGCTCATTGTTTATAACAAAGTTATGAACAAATGAAGTTTCATAAATTTTTCCATACAGTTAATCCAAACACAGTGTATATATAGAAATGTAGGAAACAGTACATATAAGTGGAAGAGGAGCTTCGCCCCTTCCCCGCAACCCCTCCTCGAATAAATTCTAACCTAACCTAACTTATTGCATCTTTATATATTTTTGAACATTGTTGAAAAAGTTCTCTTAAGATCTATCACCTAACCCAATTTAACTTATTATATCTGCATACAATTTGGTGTTGTAGGTTTTAAAGAAATCTTTTCATATAAAGATGCAATAAGTTAAGTTAGGTTAGGATTTATTCGGGCAAGGGCGAAGCTCCTCTCCCGCTTATATGTACTGTTTCCTACATTTCTATATATATACTTTCGAAAAATTACGTTACATTCGTACAATTTTTTTTGTTAATAACTTTTTAATAAACAATGAGCGACGGCTAAAACCTTTTGATTGTGATTCAGGAGGGTCTCCTTGATAATATATCTAACAGACAAGGTCATCGGAGGTGGGTCCCCTAAACAGGAGTTGTACCTCATTTATGTAATTATTCATTCACTTCTCTTCATTAGTTATTTATTTCATTTACTAAATATAAATATATTCATTTAACGATGGTATAAGATAGGATAAAGAGCGGTCGAAAGAAGATCCTCGTTTTTTAATTTATGTTGTTTAATATTATGTTATTTAAAAAAGTTCTTGAAAAGGAGATTACATCATATTGGTTTGATGTGTAGGATGTGAAGAAATGCTTGAAGAATTTCTTCGAAGTTATAACTTGCACCCGTGAATGCATCATTGAAATCGAACACATATCGAAGAGGCAAAAATATTCATGTTCGTAACCCTTCTAACGGATAATTTGCTCTTACTTTCGCAGATTAAACTTGATTAAACGCATGGAAGCAGTTCGCGTTAATAAACCGGTTGCCATGTTACGATTGCTTTGATCAAAACTTAAATTGCATGCAGGCGGGAATGCCGCTCACCTCTCCTGGAAAGAAAGCTGAGCATGCTGGAATTATTGTTCGTTTTAGTCAACCCGTCAATGCGGAACACGCACACATGAGGAAAACGCGTTCCGATCGCTGATGTGCAACGAGAAGTACATCTCGCTGCTTATTTAGACGCTTGTCTAATGCAGATAATTATATCGGGCCGTCGAGACGGTAGTTACGGCTAACAATGGCTACTCGTTAACACGAAATTGCCCTGTAATGAGACCGGCATGAAAACCTCGCCCGGGTCGCTCGTCCGCCGTGTAATTTTATAAAATAATGCGTTACCTAACGAAATCTCAGTATTGAAAGCTTTACTTACTTTCCCGACGATTTATATCGTTTGATCCGTTCGCGCGCAAAAGAAGCAATCCCGAGGCGAAAAGTTACAATTTCCTACGTAATCCTCGTTTTTATATTCGCGGGCATACCAGGATCTATGCGCTAATTCGATGAATAAAACTTTGGGCAAAATTGGTGTTCGAGTCTGAAAAATCAGACAAATTATGGCTCGCGCAAGCGCGCGCAAGAAGACGTGGTAAATTGATTATAGGCCGCCAACTTTATAATTTATCGCGGTAGTTTCTCTCGAGGTAGCGTGATTTTTTTTCGGAAGTCTCTCGCCGGAATATATTGTATATTTCCAAACGCACGTGACAAATAGACGACCGCGCCAATGCGGATGAAATAAACAAACGTAGTACTATGGCCGCAAACATTTTGTTCCAGCAATGTACAGCCCGACGATAACCGAATACGAGGACAATAAAGGCCGAGAGTCATCGCAGTTGGGAACGGAAAATGGCACGAATTCGATTCTCGATCAACCGCCGAAAGAGCAGATACCGGCGAAGCAGCCGTTAATCTGGAGCAATATCTTTATTTTATTTTTATTGCACGCCGTGGGGCTCTATATGTTCATTATGCAAATTCACAAGATAAAATTTTGGACTTGGGCATTTCGTACGTATTCATTAGATCGCCAATTATTTCTCTCTTCGTTATAATTTTGCAATTAATTTTTTATCAACAAGCATCTCATATCGCGTAATTAAGTTGGATGTTGAAAGATGATGCGACTTTTTTATTAGAAGCAACATAGTTCCGAGTTTAACTGGACTTAATGCGCGAGCTGTGTGTAATACGTAACACATTGTACAATGCTCATAAGTCTCTGTGATGTTCAGTGCATGGAAGTTACAGACATTACCGCTTTTAATGTGAACCAATAATAATGAATGTTAATTAATGTTAATTCGTTAAGATTGAAGGAGCACTGATGCTCCTGCATTCTTCACACGAAAATTTTCACCGTGCACTTAACAAGATATCTATACCCACAGTCTCGCCTATTGGGGAATTAAACTGGGGACCACGTATCTCTTGTACTTTTATCAGAAAACAACGATTCCAAATTGACTTCATTATTGTTTAACTTGTCATATTCAGATATATCGACTGGTTACTTAGCTGGCATGGGCGTAACAGCAGGTACTCATCGTCTTTGGACGCACAGGAGCTACAGCGCCAAACTACCACTCAGAGTATTACTCATTACGCTGTACTGCATGAATGGTCTGGTAAGGTGCCGCGGTATCATAATTAGCAATTGTATGAAAGTATCTAGCGGATAATTGCCTAAGAGATTCCCTTTTTTAGATCAAACCGTCCAGGTGGGTACATATCCACCGTGTCCATCACAAGTACACTGACACTTGTGCGGATCCACATAACGCTAATCGCGGTTTTGTCTTTTCTCATATCGGCTGGTTGACGATGAAGATGCATCCAGCGGTCAGGCAGGGTATCAAAAATATAGACATGAGTGACATTCATGCTGATCCAGTCATACGCTTCGCTGACAAGTGAGTCTGACATTTCTCAAATATCGATAAAGGGAGATTCTCTTTACGGAAATTGAATTAACTCTGTCGATATAAATCAGTTATATTTCCAATTACTTCAGTGATAAAATCACGGGTACTAACCAATTACTCAGGTACTCGAAACTACAAAATTCTTTATATGAAATTTATGTGTTCTTTAAAAACAAATATATATATATATATATGTGTGTTCTTCTCGTCTGTTTGTCAAAAGTATTAAAGTAAAGTCAACGAAAGTGAATATTTCAGCCAGAGATTACATATTTTACTTTTATATATTCTAGCATATTAAAACTAGATATTTAAAACAGAGTATCTGCTCTTGGATTGATTTAAAAAATAAATAAAAGTAAAAATCGATAATTAGATATTTTAATATTCGAATAGTATTTAATATCGAATAATATAAAGGTACGAGTAACTGAGTAATATTCGAGATAGCCGGTATCGCGACATTACTGATACAATATTAATAGAACAGTCAAGCTGTAACGATTGCGAATTTAATCAGTGTAATCTGCCGGCATATACCAAATGGTTTTAAAATTATTAAACGGTCACAAAGCAGCACAATTCCATTCCGCTTGAGCCATTGAGCGAAAGCAGTCGCAGTCGCAGTCGTGATCGCAAATCATTTCGTAAAATTACCAAAGAGGCTAAAATTGCGAGGTTCGACATCTTTAACCCGGAATAAGAAGGTTCTAGTAAGTTGAATTCAGAGAGAGAATGAAAGAGACAAATCTCTCGTCGCAGAACGGGATTGAGCGCGCACATCGCAATTATTTTGATTGATGTATCCGGATCACCTACGAGTCGCATGAAAGAAATGCAGCACCATTAGATGTATTAAACGTGGCCATGTGTATCACTCATGTAGCGCTTTATTGCAGATATTATATGTTGATCATGCCACCGCTGTGCTTCATTTTACCGGGTCTGACACCGGTCTACCTATGGAACGAGACTTGGGCCATAGCCATAACCGCCATACTTTTCCGTTATATCTGGATACTAAACGCACTTTTCGCCGTCAACAGTTTCGCGCACATATGGGGCTGTCGACCTTACAACAGGTACGCGATAATCTCTTGGGCTTACGTTCGCGCGATCACCATCGGAATCGGCCGGCAGAGCGTTCGGATTGTGCTCAGATATAAATAGAAAAGTATTATGATCGCGAGAGAGGAAACTCGCACGTGTGTGTCTTTCCATCGGATTACGCGAGATCGAACGTTACAATGGCTATGCGTTTCTCGTAAAAGAGAGAGAGGCAGGGAGAGGCGGAGGAGAGAAAAATCGATTTACGGGTCGTTCGAAGGATACACGTTTGTGGGGAAGAAGCGCAGTCGTTTTGCGAAAATTGGAGCTTGCATAGAGTTTTGAATAAAAAAGTACGCTCGAAAACGTAACGAACTGGCACGCTTCAATTTCCCCCGGTAACTCCTCCGGTCACCGAGAGGTGATTAATCTTACAAGCAAGCGCCATACTTTTTCAAGAACAAGAGTTCGTAGCTTGAATCCGATTCACCCGGCAATTCCATTTGTTCTCGTCGTAAATGGCAAAAACATTTCGTATCGTCCGGTATTTTGAGCGACATAAGACCGCGAGTTCAGTCTCTCCGAAGACAGCGGCTCCAAATTCCTTGTAACGTATAAATATAACCAAGCGATACTCCTCGTTCGTGCTTGAGCTCACAGCCATTCAAATTTCACGCGAACCGGAAGATATACTTACGAGAGAAAGTGACTTCCGACTCTCGTCTTTTGTCACGAGGAATACGATTCAAAATTCTTTTCGGCTAAACTAACACGGGGCGCAAACATACTCGTATCAGGAGCGCGGTTCTCGAGGAGGGAAATTTGCCTAAGACAGTTCTAGAACGAAGACGCTTTAATAGATGGAAGCTGTAAGCTGTGTTGTTCCGCTTGAATAATCTGTTGCATGAGATTCCGGCAGAACTTGGTTTGCCCAGATCAAGCGGCGAAACTTTCCTCCCTTCCTTCTTGTTCCAGAACTATTAAGCCGACGGAAAACTGGATAGTGTCCGTCTTTTCCGTCGGTGAGGGCTGGCACAATTATCATCACAGCTTCCCACGGGACTACAGGGCCTCGGAGTTTGGCTGTTTCAATCCGTCGACCGGCTTTATACATCTCATGGCTTGGTTAGGATTGGCGTATGATTTGAGAACACCGAGCCAAGAAATCGTCTACAGATCCTGCGCGAATAAAGGCGATGGCACGCCATGCTCCGTGACGAAATGTAAGTCGTGAGGCGGGATTGTCTCTTGAGTGAAAAAGCGCTCTTAGATAAAAAAAAAGAGAGAGAGAGAGAGAGAAAAGAAGAAAATATTGAAAGAAAACGAAAATGCGTGCAATCAGCTACGCGGAATCAATAAGCGTGGTTGCTTCGGCTCATGACACAATGCTCAACTTTCATTAATCCGTACATCGATACAATTATACGTTGGGTCGGTCAAAAAGTTCGGTTTGACTTTTGAGTCACCGAGTGACTTGGCTTTATTCGGCAGAAATAAGTTATTTGCAAAGCAGACAAGCGTTTTCGTTGCCTATGGTTCTTCGTTAATTATCTGACAATGTTACATGTATTTACTTTTATTCCAGACAGCCAGTTTATACCGTCGCAGGAAAGGAGAAATTGAAGCGAACATTTCAACAGACCCGGCACACTTATATTCACTTGCCGATTTTTGTCGTATTTTTTACCGCGACTAAATACAACTCTCCGCTTTCTTCGTTGCGCACAATTGCAAGTAATGTAATATTTGTTGTCCTTTCTCTCCAGCAGCCGGCTCGGCTGCTCTTTCTTACCTCTTCGAGCATTGAATAAATAGTGCTACGTTTCTCCGGCTACATCCCACACGTGATCTCGAACCGTGTATCTCGAACTGAGAGAGAGTAATACGTGGCACGATGAATTATGTTATTTTGGACTGAATGTTACCATCGTATTAGCAGATTATCCGCCTGAATTTCCGTAGATAATACGTATCGCTTAATTATGTTTAAGGATTATATTTATGTTATCTCCTTCATGCGTGAAACGCGTAGAACATAATGAAACATTATTGACGCTTGATAGTATATTTTCACAACCGTAATAACAGCATAGGTGTCCAAAGGTAACTATTTTTATCATGCAATTAGCGTGTATGAAATGTTATAACAAATGTCACGAGTAACAAAGTATGATAAATAAATACGATAAATAATTCATAACGTGTGTGAACGTTATTCATTTGTATAAGCGGGTATACGTAGCGGGTGTAAAAGAGCATAGCAAATGGCATTATAAATCATTAAACTCGGTCCATATTGTTTCGATTCATTGTTAAGAACTGTTATTAACTCAACATATTTAATTTCAATGTGTTTATCCGCGGCTATGTGTTCATCCGTATAGTGTAACTACCTCCATTTTACGATAATGAAAACTTTGATTACGTTGTAAAATAAACTAGGAGAATGTTTTATCGTATTAATTTCAAAGAAATAAAATCGTATTTACGTTCCTAAAAATCTCGTAATTTGAAACCTCTGCTTCTTTTTTATTTTTCATTACAGCTACGCCGGTCGATAGAAGGTTGATATTCCGCGCGGTGTTTTCTGACTTGGCGCGAATATTTCCCTCAGCCTCGGTCCCACGGCGGTCTATTTTAAGCGCCGTAGAATTTTAATAAAGGCTTTATCACACGATCCCTATCGGAGGATGTATCACACGCGGGGCCGCACGCTTCGGTGACCTCTGCGGTCAACGATTTATATAAACGCCCTACATACGTGAAGTCACGTTTTGCCGATAAAAAAAGAACGAGAGACGCCAGAAAAGTGTTATCGATCCGGATAGTCTGACGTCGCGCCGCGCTTCACCCTCTCCCCTCCGGGGCTTAAATTTAGTATTTATCATCGCGTATTCCGCGGAGTCTACAGGTAGCGCCTGCGCGACTTGGCCGTGTCACTCGTCACGCACCTTATACGCGCATATACCTGTATGTGTGTGTGTATGTATATATATATAATAAATATATATATATGTGTGTGTGTGTGTGTGTGTATATATATGTATGTATGTATGTATGCATGTATGTGTGTGTATATGTATGTATGTATGTATGTGTGTATCTCACACACAGAAAGTTGGTATATAACTGCCGAACATATTTACCCTATATAGACACATTACGAACATTTGTCTATTTTTGTCATAGCAACCGTCGTGTATCGATCATTCTAATGTTTCTGTAAATGTGACTGCGAGCGGCGTGCGCGCGCGCTGCGCGTACCCTGCATTCCACGTTCGTATTCGTTAAAAATCTAGGACGTAGAAAAAGTCGCAGCTGTTCGGCGCGACAAAGGTAGCACATGTAGGATACAGATGCATCGCATAATTAATGATAATGCTTTCCCGATGAGTCGGTTGGCGCTTTCTATTTATTCGCGTTTTTCGCAACATTAGCGAGATAATGAAATTCAGTGATCGCGGTGTACACACAAGATGAAGATAATGCCGACACACGCATATGTGCGCCAGTGGTTAGCGTAATTGTGGAAATTGATTTCATTCGGGTTGATTGATTGATTGATTGACTGCCCACGTTCCTCTCGACATGACCCGCCGGCTCGAGGGTCCCGGGAACGCTTTGAGATCTTCAAAAGATTTCCCATTTACCGTAATGGTGATCCTTTTCATAGCGCGGGAAGGAGCTAGTGATGTCCGCAAGGATACCAACTTTGATTGCGTTCGCGCCAAAAGTATGATTTCCAAGAGAGATCGCGGTGTGTCGAAAGTTACACGAGAGAAACTTTCGGAAGATCGCGGAACTTTTTTCATGTTCCTACGAATAAAATAAGAGGAGCGTATTATTTACAGGTCCCGGCGAGATTTACGGCGCCGCGCGCGCGAGGACTTCTTACCAAATATCGCACGATCTTCTCAACATTTAAAGAGAATCGCCGCATTTCTCAAAGCTTAGGCAAAGAGGAAGGAAAAAAATAACAAAGCGCCCTCAGTTTTACATCCCGTGGAGAATTCAATTCCCACGGCAGGAACCGCAAAACGAGAGGCAAAATCTATTGACGTTGTTGGTAGTGCGGGGCAACGAGTGTACAAAATTAACCCTAAAATACACAGCGTCCCGACGAGGGCGATTCGCGAAAGCTCGAGAAACAACAGGGAAGCGATTAAGCGACAAATTTTAATCGAATATCGGAGAAAAAGGATGACAGACAAGATTTGCCCAAGAATTACCCGGTAGGAGGCGGACATTCAACCGACGATATCGGGTGTACGAGAAAAAGTAAATACCGCAATCTCTCTCTTAGAGATCTCCCCTGTGCATTCTGGAGTTAAACTTAATCGGGCATGAGAGTGCAAAGAAGAGAGAGACCAAGTAACTCGACTCACCCCGTATTACTGACCTGACCAGTTTCGGTTCTGTCAAGATAATACCCTCGCCGTCACCACAGTAAACACACCACCCTCCACTTTTGCCCCCACGACACTGTGTTCGATTACGTGCACGCAGTCTGTATCTTGAGCTCCACGCCGGTGACGATGACGACGATAACGATGACGAGAGATTGGCCCTCTGATAAAAATATTCTGTCCAGCTGATATCCCAGGAAGAAAGAGAGGTAGTGAGTGACGAGAGAGTGAGAGCACGACTCGATTCGACGCGAAATGAAGAGCGACGATTAATATTGTGACATATAAATTAACACTGCGTTATCGGAGATATTTGGGAACGGCGAGTTTCAACGTGCGCCGAAACACGCGACGACGACGACAACGACGACGACGATAAATGAAGATATCGGAACGTATGCATACAAACGAAAATCTTCGGCGGAAGAGCAGGTGGGTAGGGATGTTTGAATAAATAAACGAAACTCAGTGCATACAAACCGGACAGGGGGTATCGTAAACAGTGGGTAAATAGTCACACGTTTTCACTCAGATACGTCGTGTGAACATGTGTGTATAATGCCGCGTGTGTGCGCCCTTGTGTCTCTCTCTCTCTCTCTCTCTCTCTCTCTCTCTCTCTCTCTCTCTTTCTCTCTCTTTGTCCCTCTCTCTCTCTCTCTCTCTCTCTCTCTCTCTCACTCTCTCTGCTGTGTGTGTATGCACACGTGCGTGAGTATAGATGCGAGAGACCTTCCAACCGCGACGATGGTTTAGGGTGTACTGAACGTTACCCGGAGAGGGTTGGGAAACGGTGTAGTGTCTAATCCAACATTACCTAACCGTATAGCAACGGCGCCATGAGAACGGCACGTTTGCGCCTGCGTTGTCGTCGTCATAGATCGACTTGAACTTTTTTTGGCAATTCCAGCAGTTACTTCGAGAACTTGCAATAAAAGCTGCTATTAATTCTCTATAAGTGTCGTACCGGGGAAAAGAGGGCTCGGGGGAGAGAGGAAGTCCGTAATTTGTCGGCCCTTGAAGAAATGCGCGTAACGGTGGTGTTGGCGCCGGAGCAATTGAGACTGCAAGGTAGGACAGATATCGGAGCAGCTGCTGATATTACTGCTGCTAAAATCTTTTTATTAATTATGATTAATTCATGATCTGTTTGATTAAATGCGTTATTCTTTGTTATTTTAACTGTACTTTTTTGCTGACAAAAACGAGCGGCAAGAACAAAGATATTAAATCGTGCTATCTTTTTCTATTTTTTCGATCGAGCATATCTCGCCCGTCTATGTTGGTAGAAAGCTCAACACACCTGCAAGCACCAAAGTTTTGGCAGCTTTAACTGGAGTGATACCTTCTGTCGATACTATATCTTCAAGATAAAAAGATTTCTTCCTTTGTAACGTCTGTGGTAAATCAAACTTTCAGCTTTAAACAAGTATAATATTGAAAAACGTCACAAGTATGTACAAAAGTACAATAACAAACAAACTTAAACATCTTCTTAAAAAAATATGTTAAATAAAAAAAGTCTGATTCCTTTTTATATCGACAGTTTCTTCATATAAAATAAAAATTTGTGGGTATTATATCATCAATGCAATAATTTTATATTACACTAAACACATTTGAATTATGACTCTCTTGGATAACCGATACCGCCATACAGTTAACTTATCTTTTAAGTAAAGCACTGAGAGATAAGGTAATATTCTCTTAATCCACACGCTACCTTTACTACTAAACAAACCATATAATTAAAATTTTTCTAATCACAATTAAAATAAACTTTAACTTATTTAAATTAATTAACTTTCAAATTAATTGAAAAATAAAATCGGAGTTAACAAGTTGAAGCATTTGAAGTTTACATATACTTAATTGTAAACTCACAGGGATTATTTCTTCCTCTTTCTTTCTGCTTCAGAGTTAAAAATTAAGTTCTACCAGAGAGAGACCTGAAAGCGGCCACCGGGCCGATTACACCGGGACGCTTTTTCTGCCGAATTCCGACGCGCCCTCTAAGAAAATGTGTGCACACTACATCCGTCCTGACGGTAACGGCAAAGCGTACACGGTTCTTGCTCACTCTACTTCTCCTTACAAGAGATAGTAAGTTAGACAAGCATAGACGATCAATCGTCTTCGTCGTACCGTTGAGAGTACGCGCGGCAGGAGGAGGCACGAGGCGAGTCAGCGGCAAATCTTATCGCTAAGCCAAAATCTCTCCCGTCTTGCCCCTTCGTCTTCTCATCTTTCACGCAATGCACTGCCCGCAATTCGAGAAAAAATATTTCGAAACCGCACGAAAAATTTCAAGCAATGACACAAAATGACGCTAATAGGAGTGGCGATTCTTATAATTTCTATATTAATTTTTTTCATTTTTTTTATTCAATTTTTTTCATTTCTTTTCCGAAATCAATGCGAAAATGAAATGAATGACTATAAGTTAATTATTTGTGATAATTATTTGTGATAAAACGTTAATCTAGCTTCGAAATAAGAATGATCCGAGCAAATCGCATCGAGTTGTAATCGCACGTTTTGAAGTTAGAAGTCACGAAAATTTGAAAAGTGACAGACCCAGAAGTGACGAGTCATCAAGTATTAATTAACAAAATATGAGTGATAAGGTTTTAATGTAGACTCAAAATAACTAAGATCTTCATAAATTTCAACGACGTGCGTCTACGCATTATCGAGAAATTGAAGCCAATAGGTCAAGATCGACCGATGCGAAAATTACGAGTCACCGGGTATAAATTGCAAAATTATTTGCGATAAGATATTAATCTTGGTTCAAAATAAGGATGATCCGAGCCAACTGTGTCGAAATACGATTACACGTTTCGGAATTACAGGCCACGAAAGATGGAAAAGTGACAGGCTTGGAAATGACTTGTCACGAAATATTAATTATCGAAATATGAGTGATAAAGTTTTAATCCAGATCCAAAATAACTATGATCCTCGTAAACCGCATCGAGTTGCGATTATGCGCTTCGGAGTTAGAGGCCGCGAAATATTGAAAAGTGACAGGTTCGTAAATGATAGGTTACGAAATATTAATTAACGAAATATGAGTGATAAGGTTTTAATTTAGGTCCAAAATAACTAAGATCCTTACAAATAGCAACAACATGCGTCTACGCGTTATGGAGAATTTGAAGTCGATATGTCTAGATTGATGGATGCAAAAATAATGGATTACCAAATATAAATTAATAAATCGTGTGCAATAAGAAGCTAATCTAAATTGGAAATAACGATGATCCGTAGATACCAAATCAATCCCACGTTAGAATTATGAAGTCCGAAATGTAGAGAAATTAATGTAGAGAAAAATGATGGATCAATATATACGTCATGGAAATATTTATACTAATCGGAAAAAATGATGCTATTTAATTTTAAGGCAGTATGACTAATGTTCCTAAAATCCAGATTAATATAGCTTTTCGGATAACGTAAGAGAGCAAGTAAAAATTTGGGAAAGTAAATATGGTTCGCTACGACACGTCGTCTGTATTAGCGCACGGCGGCATGAGTTCCAGCACGACGAGGTATTTACATGGGCAGTGAGTTCTAAGAATTGTAGAGACCTGCGAGCGGACTCGTTGAAAAACTAATGCTTTCGAGTTGAACGTAATATTTCGGTTGCTCATTTAGAATGAGTTAATAAAATGCGATTAAGATGTAAAATGTGATGAACTATTAAGAAAGAAAATATCAATAAACATTAAATGTATTGTTTCAAAATAATTAGATGTTTTAGAGATTTTTATGTTTCGTTTCACAACCATGATCAGCCTCATTAATTTTTTCATCGCAAGATAAAAACGCAATATCGCGAGACAAGCAACTCCAATTGTTATAGCGTAATGTATTATATAAAATAAACTTACCCCTCGATGGTTCCTGATGTCCCTCCTTGCAAAATATATCCTCGGGTACTTAATATTTTTCACAACACAAACACTAAATTTAACTTTGCACAATAACAGGTCATTTTTTCACAACACTTGATCACAAATCTTAAATAACAAACGCGCGTAATTTCACTCGGCACTCCCGACGATCCGGTTTCGTTAGTTACTTTCAACTACTTGACGATAATTCGCCATGACAAATGCATGAAATTTGCTTTCGGAAATTTGTATTCTCGACGAAACAGTACACGCTCATATTCGCCTTTGGTAATTCAAAATCGCGGAAAATACGCACGGTCGGCCTTTGGAATTCACGTACTAAACGTTGCAATGCAACGGTCGCGATTTGCAATGTGTGCGTATGTCGGTGAATATTAGCGTCACTAGCGTATTATCCAATCAATATATCCTGTTCAAAACCGTCCGTTCCGTTTGAAATATTCCAAGAAGTCGACCATGACAGAAAAAATTCCCGAAACTTTACTCGACCCTCCCGACGAACAATTCACATTTTTAGCGAATATTTAACGAAAACTGTACCGTACCTCGATGTTTAACGATAATTCGCGACCGAGTCTCGGCTGACGAGTCGAAAACGAAGCTCCGCGACGCGAAAACCGAGCTGCCCTTACGCAGTTGGCGCGTTGAACTTTCCTCGGTATTCCGATGGTTCATCTCACTTCACTTCGCGCAGCAGTTCATTCCGCCATAACACACACGCGAAATTTACTTTCGGCACTCCCGGTAACTTTAAGGCACGAGACTCAGCTACGGCGAGTCAAAATCACAAGAGAGATCACAGACGACTGTTTCTCGCACACTACACAACCCGTAATCGGCGCCATAACTAAATACGATGCAACTGCGAACAGCGCCATAAGCGGGATACTCGGGAAGCTGAGTCGACCAATCGCAGTGATTCATTTCTTTCCAAAGTGTAACTATTTATTTGCGCAAAGTGTACGAGATGTAGGTGAAAGCAATCGATGATAGATCGATTTAATTCGGAGAAAATAACTGCTTCAGCGCAACAAACTAATTGTTTATCTCCACGACCACTACTCATTCTTGACTTTAAAGGTTTTAATACCTCTACTTAAGTACAATATCTATGTATTAAACTGTTCACTTTTCTTTTGCAAACACTCAACAATTTATTGTATAATTTTGCATGCTGACTCGTAAAAATCTCAAACAAAGAAATATTTTCGAAATCAAATGGACATATCAATTCCCTTGTGAGGAAATGTGTATCTCAAATTACTGATACCATTTAAATTATTAGCGTTATTAAAATTATTTAATATTAATAATAATTAAAATATAATAATTATTGCATATTAACATTTACAACACATATGCATGTATATGTTCATAACTGAATATGAAAATTAGTAGTATAAAATTCAATATAAAAGTTATAAAAATGGCCACCAAATTGTCATTAGCGTCATTTTGCATAATTGCTAGAAGTTGTCCGCGCGGTCTCGAAATATTTCTTCCCGAATTACGGGTAGTGTGTTGCGTGAAAGATGAGAAAGTGAAGAGGTAAGACGGGGGAGATTCTAGTTTAGCGATAAGATCTGCCGCTGACTCTCCTCGTGCCTCCTCCTGCCGCGCGTACGCTTATCTGTGGTGCGACAAAGACAGAAAGCGATTGATCGTCTATGCTTTTCTATCTTACTATCTTCCTTAAGGAAGCAGAGTGAACAAGAACCATGCACGCTTTACCGTTATCGTCAGGACGAGCGTAGTGTGCACACATTTTCTCAAGGGGCATCGGAAAAAGCGTCCCGGTGGCCGCTTTCAGGTTTCTCTCTGGTTCTACAAAGTATGGAAACAAGACAAAAATACAAATGTTTGTGTTATCTTCGATATAACTAAAATAGTCGGTACTGTCATGACTCTTAAATTACCTCCCGGCCCCTCGGAGCCCATTTGCCAATACGGAAATTTACCCGGGGCTGACAACTTTAGCATTATCTCGTCAGTGCTACAAATCTGTCACGTTACTTAAACTTTTTATATTTAACTCCGCTCTTACTTCCTCTCGTGTTCGAATGTACATCTGTCTCATTCTAAGTACGAAGAGTCCGAAAAGTTGAAGTAACATGAACAAGCATAATAAAAGTTGTGAGAAATAAAACAGTAGTGTACAAAATAATTAAGATAAACGTAAAAGACCCATACTGTTTTACGATATTCATAATAATTATTGAGTTATTAATGATAAAAATCTGACGAATAGCCGCGCGCCGAGATGGATGATTGGATAGCGTTGCAGCCATTTGGAAAAGAGCGAGGTTCAATCGATTTAACGACTGTTATCGGCGCGCCGTAGGAGTAGCAAGATAAAACATAAGCGGAATATTGTCCTTTCCTTCGTCGCTTGCCGGCAACAATTATTTAAATAACTAAGCTGCATCACGACCTTACAAATGGTCCTCCCTCACCATCTCGCGCTCTGTTCCTACCAACGAGTGCTCATTTATTCGACTCCTATAATTTATTACTTGATAGTTATTGCAAATATCACAAAATAATATGAAATTTTTTTATTCACCTTAATCTGTTCTACATTTCCATGAACTATGGCACTAATATATATAATAGAAAGCTCAGCATCCGCAAAGTATCAGGTGTAGTAAAAAGAAATCCATTATTTTTCCAATAGATGGATTTAGTTATCTGTATCTCGCGTTGTATAAGTCCGATCGGGTTCCACTAGATGGCGTTAGAAAGATGAGATTTCGTACTAAAAAAACTTTTCTGACAGTTTTGTAATTAGTTGACTCAGTTTTGTTTGAGCGCGAGTCAAAGATGGACACTAGCAAAGAGAAAATACGCTATATTTTACAGTTTTTCTTCGATAAAGGCGAAAACGCAAGCCAGGCGGCTGAAAATGTGAATAGTATTTATGGTCTTGATACTGTAACAGCCAATCACGCGCAATTTTGGTTTAGTCGATTCCCTTCCGGTAATTTCGATGTCAAAGATGCATCACGCACTGGAAGGCCAATTGTGAAAATATCGATAAAATCATGGACATTGTCATGGACATGTCAAGTCCGACCGTCATGTAAGCACTGTTTCGATTGCCCAAGAGCTAAAGATTGCACAAAAAACCGTTTGGAACCATTTGAATAAGGCTGAATACAACAAGAAGCTCGATGTATGGGTGCCACACGAGTTAAGGCAGAAAAACCTCATGGATCGAAATACCATCTGCGATACGCTGCTGAATCGCAACAAAATCGAACAATTTCTGAAGCGGTTGGTCACTGGTGATGAAAAGTGGATCACTTACGACAACGTCAAGCGAAAACGGTCGTGGTCGAATCGTTTAGGAGATATCGAAGGTTAAAGTTTAGGAGATATCGAAGGTTAAAGTTTTCCAACATTTCTCCGTTGATATCTCCGCTTCTACTGAGAGTAGAGAGTCGTCAATGTAGTCGAAAATGTAAGGTTTTGAGAGGACTTTATTTTGGTGCCAGAACCAGGCCTATATCTCTAACCGTTTAGAAGATATCGAAGATTAAAGTTTTCCAACATTTCTCCGTTGATATCTCCGCTTCTATTGGGAGTAGAGAGTTGCCATTAACGGCAAAATGTAGGGTTTTGAGAGGACTTTAATTTGGTGCCAGAACCAGGCCTGTATCTCTAACCGTTTAGGAGATATCGAAGGTTAACGTTTTCCAGCCATTCTCCGTCGATATCCAGCCTTCCTCCGTCGATATCTCCGCTTCTACTGGGAGTAGAGAGTCGCCATTTACGGCAAAATGTAGGGTTTTGAAAGGACTTTAATTTGGTACCAGAGCCAGGCCTGTATCTCTAACCGTTTAGGAGATATCGAAGATTAAAGTTTTCCAACATTTCTCCGTTGATATCTCCGCTTCTACTGGGAGTAGAGAGTCGCCATTTACGGCAAAATGTAGGGTTTTGAAAGGACTTTAATTTGGTACCAGAGCCAGGCCTGTATCTCTAACCGTTTAGGAGATATCGAAGGTTAAAGTTTTCCAGCCATTCTCCGTCGATATCCAGCCTTCCTCCGTCGATATCTCCGCTTCTACAGGGAGTAGAGAGTCGTCCATGTAGTCGAAAATGTAGGGTTTTGAGAGGACTTTAATTTGATACCAGAGCCAGGCCTGTATCTCTAACCGTTTAGGAGATATCGAAGATTAAAGTTTTCCAACCTTTCTCCGTTGATATCTCCGCTTCTACTGGGAGTAGAGAGTCGCCATTTACGGCAAAATGTAGGGTTTTGAAAGGACTTTAATTTGGTACCAGAGCCAGGCCTGTATCTCTAACCGTTTAGGAGATATCGAAGCTTAAAGTTTTCCAGCAATTCTCCGTCGATATCCAGCCTTCCTCCGTCGATATCTCCGCTTCAACTGGGAGTAGAGAGTCGTCCATGTAGTCGAAAATGTAGGGTTTTGAGAGGACTTTATTTTGGTGCTAGAACCAGGCCTGTATCTCTAACCTAGTGGTGAGCCGGCGGAAACGGTGGCCAAGCCAGGATTGACGGCCAGGAAGGTTTTTCTGTGTTTGGTGGGATTGGCAGGGAATTATCTACTATGAGCTGCTCCCCTACGACAAAACTCTTAACTCGGAACTGTACTGTCAACAATTGGACCGTCTGAAGGAAGCAATCGCCCAGAAGCGGCCAGCTTTGGCCAATAGGAGAGGAATTGTGTTCCATCAGGACAACGCCAGGCCACACACATCGATAGTGACTCGCCAGAAGTTCCGCGAGCTTGGTTGGGAGGTTCTTATGCATCCACCTTATAGTCCGGACCTTGCACAAAGTGATTACCATCAGTTCCTGTCCATGGCGAACAATTTTGCTGGTGAAAAATTCGCTTCAAGAGAGGCTTGTGAAAATCGACTGTCTCAATTTTTTGTCAATAAGGACGAGAGCTTCTATGAGAGAGGCATAATGAAATTACCTTCAAAATGGCAACAAGTTATCGAACAAAACGGCGCATATTTGACCTAAATCGGATCGTTCTAACTATGGTAATTAAAGCCTTCAATTTCATGCAAAAATAATGGATTTCTTTTTACTACACCTGATACTAAATTTTTGACAACTTTAACTGAAGTGATACCTTCTGTCGATACTATATCTTCAAAATAAAAAAAATTCTTCCTTTATAAGACCCGTGATAAATCAAAATAATTTTAACTTTAAACAAATATAATATTGAAAATGTCACAAGTATAGACAAAAATATAATACGGATTGATATAATATACGGCTTCAAAGTTAAGAAACTTTCTAAGAAGATATGTTAAATAAAAAAATGTTGATTCCCCTTCATATCGATAGTCTTTTTACATAAAATAAAAATTTGTGAATATTATATTACTAATGCAGTAATTTTGTATTCCATAAATACATTTGAATTATATCTCTCTGATAACCGATAACGCCATGCAGTTATCTTATCTTTTGAATAAAGTCATAAATACAGAATAAATATAAGCAATCTTATAAAACAATAAATGTCCAGATAACTAACTCATTGTACCTTGAAAATAATCTGTAAGCTTTTTATCTTTTATAACACTACTTAATATCCTAACATTATCAAATAGATTATTATTAACGTATGGTAAAATTTATTAATTTACAGTTATAAAAGAGAAGGATTCATGTTGCTTGAAAAGTCCGTCTGACGAAAAAATATGTCTGATTTATTATTGAGTCGTACGAGCTCGAATTATCAATAGAAACAACGGTGACACGTAGGGAAAATCTTGAAACTTTTATATATATAATAATATGGATTTGAATCTTAGGTGAAGTTTGAGTTTTGGCTGAATAGAATTTAATTTTTAGCTAAGAATATCCAACAAGGAAAACAATTAAATAGGAAAGCAATTCAAATGTTATATGTAATTATACATAGCTATACGTAGGTAGCAGTTAATATTATAATTCCAATTTAATTTTAATTCCATTTATCATATTTCTCATTTATATATATATATAAGCATAAAAGACATAAAACGTATCAAATAAATTACAAAAAATAATTATACTTTACGGAAAATATGTGTATGATAATAATTATTTGTTATAATTAAACTTTCTTCGCTTTCTCCGCTATTTCTTCGCGTATTACTTTGGCCACTATAGATAATCCCTGAAAACCAATCAAAAATATTAATATATCAATGTAAATAATGGGAATTAGTAAATTTTAATTTAAGTTTACCTTGTCAATATCTTCATCTGTGGCATGACTATAGCATAATCTTAAATATCGGGAGGATTTTGAAGAATCATAATAGAAAATATTTCCAGGAAGTACAAAAATACCATTGGGTAGACATTTATTAATTACTAAATCCATTGTATTTTTCACAGCTGTCACTTTTAACCAAACAAACATTCCACCTTGCGGTATATCCCATTCTGCCAGATCTAAAATTAAAATCAACTCGAGTGAGCGATTTAAAACTGTATTTCATACACTTTTGAAATGTACGAAAAGAAATTCTACTTAAATTTATAACAAAATATAAATATTATCGTAGATGTATTATTATTTAACAAACCAGTCAAATGTTTTTTAATCAACACCAGCATTACATCACGTCGTTGACGGTAAAATGCTTGAACGTTTTTGAAATGTTCTTCAAATTTCTGCGGTCCCCAAATCTCGAAAAGTTTATAAAGAAGCATCTGCAATAAGCAAATTGATGTTATTAAAATTTTTTTACTACTCTCTCGAATTTAATTAACGCGAGAATTATATCATCCTCAGGTTCTATCAAAGTGAATCAAATTAAGAACGGAATCTTACTTGAGACACAGACGATGAATGTAGGCTAGTATTCTCCATATGAATAATCATTTTCTCCACGACTTTTTTGTGTGCGGTAACAGCACCTATACGGATACCGGAGCTCACAATCTTGCTGAATGTGTCCAGTCTGATCACACGACCGTCGGTGTCAAGGGATAAAAACGACGTGGGCTGTTTATCCAAAAAGTGAATGAAGTAATAGGCGTCGTCCTCGACTATCAGGAAATCGTATTTTTGCGCCAATTCGTACACTTTCCTTCGTCGACTCTCCGACAATACGGTGGCCGACGGATTCGCTCCCGTTGGGTTAACATAAAGTAACTGAAAGATTTAACAATCTATAGGACAGGATTGTCCGATGAAAGGAGGTGCGACGTTAAAGCATTACTATATCGAAAATAATAAATGAAGTTAAAAAAATAATATTTAAAAAATATTCACTGTCCAGTAATGTTGTTAATATAAATCGGGTATGTACACTTAGCTGTTAATAATTTTTCTAACCCAATTAGAATATAACAGATTAGAATATAACCATACACTCGGAGTATAATCGGATACCTAAACATATGAGTACTATCAGATCCTCTTAAATATTACCCGAATATCTGAATACCCAAAGTGACAGGTATTATTCACGGAATATTTTTACTCACCTTTGGCATCGGTTTACCACTCACACGTCGTTGCTCGCATGCTTCAGCGATTTGTTCGGGAATTATTCCGTCAGCATCTTGAGCGATCTCTACAATGTCCGGTTGCAATGGCAGTAGCTGTTGCGCGAACAAAAGAGAAAAATTTATGAAAAACTATTTACGAAGTAAAACTCGCAAATTCCATGCATCAGTTCTGCCATATTCTCATGGTATTATTCCAGTATATCTTACCGCTCCAATTGTTCCACTATATAATGGTGACTGAAGCATAATCGGTTCATTTTCGTCAATCATCATCTCAAAGATTTTACTGCAAGCGTCCATAGAACCGTTGGTAAAGATGATATCCCAGTCCTTTTGTTTTGGTGTATGCCATATTTTCTGAAACTCGCGCCATTTTTCCAGTAACGGTTTATAACTTAAATGAAAAAAATAAATAAACAATATAAAATAACATATGTATAAAAATATTTTGTATTTTATATATACATATACAGTGGCGTGCAAAACTTTTGAGCCACACAATTATTATTATATATTCATTTCATAATGAGCGCTAAAAGCTTTACACATATATATAAACAAAATGTATTTATTTGTCCTACAATTATATAAACTTTACAAACTTTTAATAATTCTAAATACTTTATTTTTACACAATGTCTCATTACAAACAGTGCAAAAGTATTGCGCCAAAAAGTTTTCTAATGCATAAGAAAGATATATTATTGAAAAATAGTAACAGAAAATGTTGTCAACGTTTTTTTTAAACTTAATACTTTGTTGCCTTTGATGCCTTTAGAAGCAATCACTGCAGCACAACGGCCAGGCATTGATGCTATTAAATTAGAAATGCGATCTTGAGGTAAATTTTGCCATTGAGTTTGCAAATCTTGCCACAATTCAGCTTTATTGGAGTGTTTCTTATTTCCTGTACGTAGTTTGAGTTCTTGCCACAATCATGCTCAATAGGATCCAAGTCCGACAATTGCGACAGCCAGTCAAGAACTCGCATTTTTTTCACGATGAAAAATTCTTTTATTAGTTTTGATGAATGTTTGGGATCGTTATCTTGTTGGAAAATCCAACCACGTGGCATGTTTTGAGTTGCATATGGCAGCATATGCTATGTCAATATATCTCGATATATTATAGCGTTCATAGTACACGTGATCTCAACCAATGGACCAACTCCATTATAAGAAAATGATCCCCAAACCATCACGTTACCTCCACCATGTTTTACGGTAGGAATTTGGTATCTTGAGTTATATCTTGTGCCTGTTGGACGTCATATATACTTTCTACCGTCACTTCCGAATAACTGAAACTTTGACTCGTCAGAGAAAAGTACTTTTCGCCAATCAACTTCAGTCCAATGTTCAAAATTTCCTTGCAAAACCTAATCTTTCTTATTTTTTGCACTAATTAATGGTTTTTTTACACCAGCACGTCCTAAAAGTTCTACTTCCTTTAGACGTTGAGATATTGTACTTTGACTAATATCAACAAGATTTTCTTCTCGTAGTTCTCGAGAAATATCCATGGCAGTTTTTCTAACATCTGCTATCGACTTTCTTTTAATCATTTTATCGACGCGCTTTGTAGTTTTGCTGATACCGTTTCGTGGTTTATCAGCTAGAGAGTTCGTTACCTTATATTTTGCAATAATCCTATTTACAGTATTTTGATCAATTAATAAGCAATTAGCAATTTCGCGAGAAATCTTTGTTGAAAAAGATTAATCACGGTTTCGCGTAACTGCAGGCTTGTATGTTTCGACATTGTGGTAGATAATAAACTGAACCTTAGTTAAAGCAAATATTTACGAAGGAGTTTCATAAGAAACGTAAACAAACCGGGCTTATAAAGTCACAACAAGAATACGGCTCAATATTTTTTAACACATGTAAATATCATATGACTAAATAATTAGAAACTATGTAATTTCAAAATTTTGTAACTGTACTATTATTTGTAAGAATGTTATGTCAACTGTTTTATATAATTAATTTTTAGAGCAAATCAATATATTGTCATGTATCTTAAAAAGACACTATGGCTCGAAACTTGCATGCCACTATATATATATATATATATATATATATATGTGTGTGTAAACATATATAAAAATGCATAATTCAAATATATTGAAGTGATATTTTTAATATTATTCGCAAACATTAGCCAAGATATTACTGCTTTGGTTAATAGATTAATTACATAACGGTTTATGAATATTACTCACCCTTGTGAAGGCAAATATTGCAATGCTGTAGACACTTCTGGTTTGGTGAGATTCAACGAGACGTTGTTCTCATATGTCACAGATATACTTTTGATGGGAAACGTAGCAGTGTTTGGGAAACCAGCGGCTAGACTTATAGGGTTCTGCAGCGTTGATTGTATGTCGACTAATTCAGATACATAAGTCAAAGAATTACAATCTAATTTAATAATAGTTTTAATAATTTAATAATAATTAGATTCAATTAATTTTATCTAATCCAATTTAGATTAAAATCAAAATTTTATCTATATAATCGGATTTAGATTAGTATCAAAATTTCATTAAATCTAATCTAATCGGCATCGTTAAGTATTGGGCGAAATTAATTGATATATTGTTAAATCACTACTCATATTAGATTGATAATATTAAAATAATATTATCTAACGTATTTTGTAACATATCTCGTTATTATAAATAAACGCGAAAATTTTTTGGTGTCTCTCGTTCGTTAGTAATTTATCTTTGATCTATCATTTTTTGAAAATTTCATGAATAAAATATCGCAAAATACTAAAAATTATTAACGCAATGACAACTTACCTAACTTTCTAATTAGGTTCGATTTTCGTCTAGTCGTGACCTTGGCGAAAAACCTAGTGTAATCCATGATCACGTATGGTAATGTGTAATCACTTCGCCTGCTCTTCTACTTATACGTCTTACAGCTCAGAGTGTTATCGCACGACTGATTCGACACGCTACAAACTGTTTCTTTTCAAGCAACTTCAAAACTAGTGACACTAATGCAATAAATGGACTTAAGTTGTAATAAGCAGAAATAAGTTGTAACGAAAGAATATATACTTGTTTCGCACTAATTTATAATACCAGCTTTTAAGTCTTTCGAGAGCGAGAGAGAATCTAGAATTATTCAAAAATTACAGTAACACAGTAACGTCTTCGATAAGACTAGTTATTTTCCGCTAAGTGTCGGCCAATCAACATGCTGTACATATCTTTCATGATAAGAAGAATATGATACTAGTCTTTTATGATAAAAATATGAAGAAGAATTGTTCCAATATAAAGACAGACTCAGAATAGAACATGTAAACAACCTCTTGTAAAATACAATTTGAACATATTACAGATATATTATATAATCAAAGCGTAAAATAGCATTGATAGATCATATAGTATATATAGTGTATAATATATAAGATAATAGATAATAGTATATAGGAGTCTAATAAAAAATTCATTAGATTTTTCTCACGGTTAGAGATAGGAGAAGATAACTATTATCAAGTTTGCAAGAGAAATAGAGATACATACGTCCTTCTGTTAACTTCTTAAGACGTTCTTGGATATTTGAAGATGTCTTTTACACATCTTTAAAACGTCAGAATGTTGTACAGGACGATACAAAAAATATATAAAATTATTGAAATTAATTCGAAATCGTTTTCGAACATCGGAAACATTTGAAAAATGAATATGTGACAAATGTATAAAACAGTACACATATATGCGCTAAATCTTTCCAGCGGCAGTAAGACAAACATAAAAGTCGATAGAACATAGATGTAACGTCACTTACTAAATGAGTATGTAGAAGATAACCACATTTGTTTAAACCAGGATTACGACTTGTACAAAAAATGCAAAACAAGATTAAAAGTCGATTAAGAAGATTAAAAGTCGATTAACCCGCTTATCGGAGAAAAACAATTTGTGGAATTTTATGGTTATCTTGTTTTTAAAATAGCACTTATTTTTGTTTTATTTATCTTCAAAATTGTATTTGTTTTGCTTTTGTTTATATTTATTTATTATTTTATTTCTTTGTTTCCTTTAATTGATACCATCTTCTTTAATTCCTTACCCCATACACGATTAAAAACCAGTGACCAATATTTTATAAATCATTTATCTTCTAATAATTATCTTTTTTATTGATAATTAAATAATTGAATTGAAGCTTAAAACTTATCGTTTCTTCGCATCTTTAAATAGTATCGATAGGACACTGTTAAAGGAAGAGCAGAAACCTTGAAATATATTCGTAACATTTATTCCAATTTATTAACATCTTGTACGTGTACGTCTTGTTTGTGTACGTGTATGTGCGCGTGTACATGTGTGTATGTGTATTAATGTATGTCTGTGTAAGCGTGTATGCATGTTGTCACTGTTTCCATCGCCTTTGCTTCATTCTCCTCTGACATTGCAGATAACTTATCGTATATTGTTGCCGAATAAACGCTCCATTCGATATCGATCGATCGATCAAGTGCGTGTGGGTGGATTTTCGACCGATCTCGAGTAAAAAAGAACCATCGACGTCGAACGGAACGTTTGGCTTTAGGGTTTCGTCCTGACGACCGACAGAACGGGGCTTGCCGTGCATTTTCATCATAGTGCTCTCAGTACAGACCGATTAATTTCCGTGATTAATTTCCGGATATTCGAATCCGCGGTTACTCGTTCGGGTGTCCAGAAACAACAAGTCCGGTAACAGCTAAGTACTCAGATACTGAGCCGAGTGATAATCATGCGTTTAGTTACCCAGGACGAAAAATCGCGGGTAAAACCGAAATAATACTCATCCGCTATCTGTTATTGATTCTCATAGCAGTCGATTCACACATCAGCTGATTTTGATGTTTGTTTTTCCGTGATACTATAACTGATACTGGATGCTTGCGTATCCGGCTGCTGACGTCACTAAACATATTAGCGTTATTTGTCAGGTGCAAGTTCGCTTCGTGCTGACTCTAACAAGTCTCCCAATCGATTTTTTTCTGTGTCTCGAACACGAGCGATGTTTCGACCGTGATAGAATATCGTGATAGTGGTAGAATAGTGAGAATAAAACTAATGGAAAACTTAAGATTAGAAGAGTCAGAGTGGTTATCGCGCTAATAAATTATTGCCTGATGTCGTCGCATCGACGCATCGTCCGTCGTCCCGTCGTGTCGGTCGACGACGCGAAAATCTCGGTACCGATTTTGAGGCCGTTGCTTCCATACGCCGCTCTTCGTCACGGTTCGTCTCGCATCTGATCTCGCATGTCCGTCAGATCCGTGTCGTCTCCTCAATTAATACGGCATCATAATGGAATTATTTACAAAACGGAACACTTATAACGACTGCTCTTGTTTAGTTTATCGCGAACTAGTTACCGAACCGTCGGTTTTTTTTCGCTTCTTCGCTACGATAACGCAATTAACAGGTAATCTGCTTATTTATGTATAATACGCACGTTCTCTCTCACCACTAGCCGACACGTTCGCACGGATTCTCACATCACCGAATGTCAGAATTGCGGCTTCTGAGGGCCCCCTTTGAGCTCTGTATTAGTGATATAACTGAAACTTTTCGCTTCAAACTGACGCACGTTTCGAAACCGCGCGTGTTTACGCTTCACGAACCGCAAAAGTCTAAAGCATTCGGGAGCGATGATGTTTCGCGCAAAGTTAACGTTGATTTCGCTCTTTTCCGCAGACTCAACTATGCAAATTTGCTATGTCGAATCTCGCTTTCCTCAATGTAAAAAATAAAACAAAGAAGTGGGAAAATGTGTATTTGCTTAGCTTTAAAAATAATCACCTGCGGTGTATAAAAATGTGTATTTTTCAGTTGATGCATAAGAAATGCGGATTGTCGTCAAGTCACATACATAAAGACAGTGACGGTGGAACGTGGGAGGGGACTATAGTACTTCTCACGCTAAGACTGAGAGAATTGACGAAGCGCCGTTTATATTTTCCGTGTTTAGCATTATACTGGAATTATACGTCTCAATCGTGTATGTATATTAAAAACTATTTGGTACTTCCCAAAGAAGTAATGCTTGTCGATATTGGGTTTTAATATCTCTAGTTTTATTATTTGGACCTAGTTCAAATATCCTTTTTGCAAAAATTATAAAGGGGAAATGCTGATGTGTGTGTAAAAGATTTTCGCAAATTTCACATGTTTACTAAGAGCGTAATTAATAAGTTTCTTAAGACACAGTGAAGAAGAGAAAGAGAAAGGGAGAGAGAGAGAGACAGATAGATAGATAAATAGAGAGAGAGAGAGAGAGAGAGAGAGAGAGAGAAAGAGAGAGAAAGAGAAAGAGAAGAACGTAATTACTTGAAAATATGTCTGACAAAGGTTTGATAAACTTTTAATCAAAGAAATCTTCGCCAGCTTACATACATATTCACTTTTGGCACAGTGAATGCACTTTGTTGCTTGTGAAACATTCAACGAAAAGAGAAAGAGAAACACGAAAACATTATATAAGGAGAAAAATGCGATGTTTCGAAATGAATAATTCGCGTCGAGAGAAGATTATGCAATCGTCTATAGTGAAAATGCTTAGTAAGTCTAGATGCGCACGCACATTGTGAATTCTAACAATAATAACAGTTCCTTATTCTTAAAGTATCTATATAACGTTGAAGAGTAGAAAAATTATAAAAGTACGAAGGTATTCCTACAATTGTTAACACGAAAGAAGTTCCGTGCGTCCGCTTCACTGCAGTTTTTCGTTTTTCTTCCTTTTCCCACCTGACATTAGAAAAGATTTTCAACATAGCGCAAAGTACTGTCTCTTTTATTAAACAAATAAATCGCTGTGTTAAATTGTAAACGATCGCTTATTATATAAGTACTAAAATGCGACGGAATTCATCGCGCGAGAGGACCGCCGCTTATTAATTACGTGAATAACGAGGTTGCTGATTTTCCTTTTCTCTTTTTTTCCCAAGTATATATTTAAGGCTTTAAAAAACACTGTAATAATAATGTAGATATCAGATGCAACAGGAAATTCAACGACAATTTCTGTATAATGCGCGATACGATAACAATAACGATATATAATAACTCTGTTTTAATTAGATAGATAAATTAGATAAATATTATGAAACGGTTTGCCGAAATAATGTTCATAATACAAGCACTGTATAATATTTCCTCGTTAATCATCTCGTAGATTTTGTGATCATAGTTTTGCGAAACGAGCCATTAAATTGTACAACGGAAACAAAACAATTAATTAGATTTAATTATTAAACAGTCGCGATCGAGTCAAAGCGCAGCGAAGAAGCGTGTGATCGAATCAACTGAGAAGGAAGAAGAACAAGAAGAAGAAGAAGAAGAAGAAGAAGAAGAAGAAGAAGAAGAAGACGGAGGAGAAGAAGAAGAAGAAGAAGAAGAAGAAGGAAACACGTAATCCTTATCTCAACATGGTCAGGATCCTGACGATATCATGCAGAAATTCTCGCTTGAACTCGCTTGAGAATGAGGAAGGAGAGAAAGATGGCAGGAGAAAGTCCATGAGGATGATGAAGAAAGAGTGTATATTTCTCTAAACGACGATGGAAGAAGTGCAGCAGAAAGGCACCGAGAGAAGGTTTCACGTAGTTGTACGAACGTTAGACGCTAAAATCAATCGACACGAACTCGTGTGTACAGTCTCTAAAAAGTCTCGCACCCCAGCTAAAGTCGCGCTAAGCTACTTGGCACGCACAGTCGCACGCACAGTCGTGCACCCATTCGCACTCATTCGCATTGTCATTCGCGGTTCTTCCTGGATTCCTCCTTTTTTTTTCTCCTTTTTTTTCTGTTTTGTTTTTTTCCTTTTTCCTTTTACTTCGACTAGACACTGTTTGATTGTTACATTTGGCAATTCGGCAGCACTCACGAAGTTTTCAAGCTCCTTGTCTCGCGCGACTTCGGGGCGACCTGCTGTACGCCGTGCACCGCTGAGAACTTCGTTCCCCGACGACGACGTCGGTGGTCGCTGTGAGAACGTGTGTGAAATGAGAAGTACAAGAGTAACGTGCAGAGCCGTTCGTGATCTATTTTCTATCTGCATGTATTCTACGCGGGTATTTTCGAGGGACTCTCGCGAAGGAACTTGGAATAGATCTTTCTTTGTGAACGTCTTCAACGTGTCAAGGGAAATCGACGATGACACGCGTGTGCGCAGAGTCGAGTACACTCGAGTACAGCACGAATGGCAAGAGCTCGGTCGGAACGAAGGTTCGTCAGCGTGTCGGCGTAAAGTAAGCGCACCTTCCGCGATAATAATAATTCAGCTTTATCCTCCAGCTGCGTTCTGAAACACTTCGCCTGCCCCCGTTACGATCGCCCGCATTTTCTTCTTCTTTCACAATGTTACCGTAATTCCCGAGCAAAATATAGCTTTTGTACATGTGTATATATCGGTAATAATCAATAAGGCATACGATATCCAATTAGCGACTTCCCTCTATTTATCATCCCAGACGTACCATGTATCCCTGGAAGTTTGAACATCTCTTCCTCCGCCTCTGCCACCCTCATCTGCTCTTCGCCAGCAAGAAACTTCCGTAATGTTCTGAGGTTCGCAAAAGTTGACATTCTCGCCTAATGACCGAGAGTAACGAATAGCCGTATATAAATTACTAGAGGAAATTATACGACGGGTCTGTAGTCATATAGTCGCTCAACTGTATTCTCTCTCTCTCTCTCTCTCTCTCTCTCTCTCTCTCTCTCTCTCTCTCTCTCTCTCTCTCTGTCTCTCTCACTCTCACTCTTTCGCTTCCGGCGTTTTCTTCCCCTCTTACTACTTTACTCCTAGCAGCTTGTTGAACCCGTGCCTCCGGCGTCGAATCGGGGTAGCGAATTTTGGAACGCAGCCAGTGTAATATAAAGTCTCCTCTCTTCACCTAAAGACGACGTTAGAATCTCGCCTCCTCCGTCCTATCAATCGGAGAAGCGAGTCATCGTCGTGCACGACGTTCAACGTAACGCTTCGTAACACGATGTGTATGTACACCTATCTAAAAGTACTGTCGCGGCACTGTATAAGTGGCGTCCTATTATATAATATTTTTTTCTCTTTATCCCAATATATGTATATATATATATATATATATATACATATAAATATATATATATATACATATATATGTATATATATAATAATTTCCTCGGTCTTATTCGTCTACTATACAAACTCCTGACTAGAACAATAGATAGGTAGTCCTCGTGCGTTCATCTCGCTCTTACGCATATGTTTTACTGTATTATTTTTCAGATTTTTTTTTGTTTTATTAATTTGCCGTCACGCGCCGGGAGGGGCCCGCCGGCAGTGATGTTAGCTTACGCGGGAAAGCCTCCAGATGCAGAGAGAGGTATGGCTCGTCTGGTTGAACTACGTTTTATTTTTTTACCGAAAATAGACGGCGCTTATAAATTGCCGCCGTCAACGATAAATATGCTTATCTATTTATATATAACTCTCTTTTTTTTGTTCTTTACACCGACGCTCTAACGTTTTGATAAATTCGGTTTTCTACACCCAGCGAGCTTCTCGTCAGCTAATATCACTGAGGTGACGGGTATTGCGAAGGACCGAGTCGGTCGGTTGCTGTGCCTTGTCTCCTCGTAGAATCGACCAATTATCCGTACGGTTTGTTCTCGAGAATTTTATATCTTTTTCTTTTTTCGGGTTAATAGAGCGGACACCTGATTATTATTACGTATTATCGCTGCTTCCCGCGAAATGACGAGTTCGATCGGATATTCCCGGCTCAGCGGTAGGAATTTGTCGAACAACAGCGTTCCATTTTACCGGGGCGACCGATGAAACAGAACGCAGTTTTGCGAAGATACGGCTGGGGCACTCGGGGAACTTTCGGAAACTTCAGTTCGCCGTGGCCGTTTGCGGTAATCACCCTATTACCGGTTCCCCTCCGTCGAGCACGGCGTTTATCTATCGTACGCAAGAGGGTTATAGACACGTACACGTACACCCAAAACCTTACAAGAACTTACAAGATTACACGAATAGAAATACGTTTTATTTCCTGGCACTGGCGGGTAACGTTGGACCGGCGCGGCGGCGAGCCGGCGGTTCCCCGCCGGTGAAGTCGCCTCGGAGGAAACCAGTACGACGGCCATCCGAATGGGAGTGCTGCCTTCCCCGTTCCTCCCCTTCCGCTCCTGAGTATCCCAAGCCTCTGTGTTTCTTTCTCTTTTCTTTTTGTTGTTTCTCTCACTCGTCCGTCCGCTCGTCCCGTTGGCAATCACATGTTACACTGACATATCGTACAGTATCGAGTATTGCGCGCGTATTATTGTTTCCACGAGAAGCATCACGATCAGCCCGACGAGCTTGATTATCGTCACGCTTGTATAAAAATAATTCCCTATTTCCCCGCGACGTCGACGTCGTCGTCGTTGTCGTCGTCGTCGTCGTCGCCGTCGCCGTCGTCATCGTCGTCGTCGTCGTAAGGTCCGCCGTCTCGTCGCGGTTTCCCCGACGACTGTCTCCTGAGCTGCGAGTTTCACGATTTCACCCTGATCGATTTTGGAGCGAGTCTCCGCTCGTTTCTCGGGTTTCTTTTGTGCGATATAGATCACCACGCGTCCTCGTCCCAAATTCGGCCGTCCCGCCGCGAAAACTGCGGATCTTGCAGATTGTTGCGGATGCCAATTGGGATGTCACGAATGTCCAAACGAGGAAGTGCATTTGCTTGCTTTCGTTGTTAATGGATCACGAATATAATCGAGCGTGCGCCCTATGCCTCTCTCGACACACACCGGCATCGGGAGAATCGGCTCACATCAAAGAAACACCCACTATAACGGATGGCTGCGACGAAGGAAACAACAAAGCGGCCCGTCGATTAGAATTAAATGAGGTTGCGGTGATGCGGCTTGCGATCCCTCGGATGAACCAGTTGCCGCACACTTTGCGCGGCCTGCACGCCCGCTGCTGAGATGCTGGTAGCTAAGGTCCAAAATGTAATTACGTGAAATCCGAGATAAACCGGCCCGGCGCTGCATTGTTCGCGTATTTATTTCGCTGGGATAGACAGACGTCTGAAATGTGTCGGGGTCGATGAAAGCTCAGGTAAACTAAACTTGAGTCGCCGCCAGCTTCATCACGCGAAACGCATCTCGCAGTCGGATCCTTTGGACCAGTGGATAATCCGAGCCGGGTTCCGTACTCGCCACAGCGTGTGTACCACCGAGTCGACGCGAAGCGCTTCGATCCAGACTGCTCTAAGATGAGTTTGCTTCGGTTCCGGTGCGGCCGTACCGTCGCAATATCGAAAATCTCCGATATTTCTTCGCGTTCGAGCGAAAATGCTCTCCGCCTCTCGCTTCTTCCACGTCCCGTCGTCCACCGTTCGCCTCTTTCCCGCTTATTCCCTCCATGACTGCGCGAATTTCGATGGCTCTCATCTCTCACGCAATAATTCGGACAACATTTCTGCTTGTCATTTGTCACGATTAGTTCCCGAAGCTACGATTTTGTTTATTCGCAATTTTGTCGCAACGAAATTTTGATGTTCCGACGATGATTCAATGCGACGTTCCCGTTGAATCCGACTGAATTAAGACCGAGGTCCGCTGTTCGATGCAATGAATGAATCTTCGCGACGAGTCTACGCGAAATCAATGTTTAACGGGCGATGGAGCCCAAGAAGATTATTACTTTTTTAGTGACACAACCAGGCAGTTTGGGGATCGGACCAAGTACTGCGGCTCGATTTTTCGGGCAAATGATTTCCTCGTATGCTGACATTCTCCGTATATCCAACTTGGTGTCTCGGTAAAAACAGATCGAAGGACATGCTCGCTACGATAGACATCCTAAAAGAGCGTTTCCTGGGACCAAATCGGCGGGATCGGTGGCAACGGCGCTGGTGGTCTGTGTCTGAGCTCAATCGGCGGTGAACACGGCGGGGACGCCACGCTACTCTGGCTGCTACTGGTCGTCGTCGAAACTGGCTGCGACCTGTTATTAAAAGCTCATTCATTAATCGAGCCTGTTGGGGAGATGTCCGTTTGACAAAAATGACAGTTAATTGAGTGAACCACAGCTACTAGTACATGTCATCTCAATCGCAACCAGAACCAATCAGATCGGTCAAACCTAGCCTAACCTAATCCAACCCAACTTAACCTAAATCTAAACCTGAGCCAACCTAACCTATCAATTTCAATTGATCCGTGACCGATTGATAAGTGTCGAGTTGGAACAGTCCTGATTGAATGACCAATGATCATCCGTTGATGAGGAATCATAAACACCAGTACTGTTAGCTTGTCTAATCGGTAACTCACCTAGAGGTTTCAACGGCAGCGCTGATAGTCAAGCACGCTTGGCAGGGTTTGCTACCGGCCCGTCGTCTGGGCACACAGCCTGCGCACCCGTCCCATCTCTCGAGGGTCCGCTTTTTCTTAGAAGGCACCCGCAAGAACCGCCGACAACTCGGCTCAGGCGCCTCCGAGTCTGTGGAGAAGCCTGAGACTTCGTCCTCCGTGTCGACGCACTGCTCCTCCTCTTCCTCGTTTTTCAGGAACACAGAGTCGGAGCCGAGCGATCTAGAATCCGGATCAGGAGGATCCACGCTGCCCATCGACGCCAATGGCGCCCTTCTACCTGACGACGATGCCGCCATAAGGTTGCCGACCGCGCCGCTGTAAAGACCGGCTTCGCTGCCGCACGGCGATAAATCCGGAGTTGGCTGTATTACCTGCTCATAACGGGAGTTTTCGATTAGTTCCGAACCAACTCCACAGGCTGGTGTAAAGAACGAATATTGGACATTCGAATTAAAAGCCATCGAGTACTCTAGGTCATAACAATGCTATTTAGCGCTAATTACGGTCAAGTTAATTGTCAAATTTATCATCATGTATAACATGGACAGGCTAGACTAAGACAAAATCTTAGGGAGGAACAGCAAAGTCGCGCTAGCGTCACGAAAGTACTATGACATCTAATTACACTCGGCGAGGTTGACAGTGCTACGGAACACAATTATACAGCAGACAAGGAAAGATCGGTGTGCAATTTATCTCTCGACATCGGCAAATGTTTGCGGCACCTCCATGGTAAAACGAAAGAAAGTGTCGTGGCTGCAAGTGTCAGGTCTACCTGGATATCGATAGGGTAATATAAATCCCACGGCTCATCGTAAGCGTGACGCGGAAAGGATGGAGGAGGCGGAAGGCACGGCATCGCCATGGCTGAACCCCTTCGTTCCAGATAACTACTTCCAGTACTGCTACAGGTAACCGAGCTACATCTTCTGTGATCGTCGGGGGGAGCCAATCTCGGTTGCCTGATTGGCGGTGCCAGCAGGGCGTCGTACCCACCTCCGACTGAGGCGAAGCGAGGTGGCACCACGGGTGAATGAGACTGGTTCATCTGATGTAAACATCGTTTCTATCTACTACAAGTGCTTGGTAAAGGGACCAATCACAAATTGGAGACGCGACTCTTATTTACTCCCGCACGAGATCGGCGCGCATCGGTAAAGGCCGCCGGTGACTCGGAGCGAGTGAATTAATACTGTACTTCGTGACTCTGTTTCTCGAGACAACGGAGAAGGAACATCGAAATTTAAAATGTGATTGCAAAAACATCGTTCAAAAACATGTCCGACTTGTACGAAACACGTTGGAGGCCGCAGTTTACCTCGACGCACAACGACCTTCTTGGACCACGATCCGGCCTGGATGGTAACCTGGCGATTGCTTCGAGAGCGGCGGCGAGTGCTTGTTCTTCGGCTTCAGCTTCCGCGACCGCAGCAGCTGCCGCCGCAGTCAGCGCCGGATCTTCCAGTTGCTTGCTCGCTTTGCATCTGATGAGCACACAAACCATATTCTAGTTCTACCTTCGTGACGACCAAGACCTGGTATTCACCAAGACTGGTGAATATCAGGTACACGATGATAAGCGTGTTCCTCTCGCGATACACCGAGCCGTGACCGGCCGTGAGCCGTTACCTGCTCTTGTACACCACCAGCAACACCATCAAGCTGAAGAAGCCGCCGAGGGTCGCGGCGATCCGTACCCCCGTCATCAAGTCGTACGTTTTGTAGAAATCGATTTTGAGCTGCTCGCGCTCGCTCAGGGTCGGCGTTGCATCTGGCAGGAACGTCGTCGGGTCTGTCGTCGTCGTCCCTGTCACGTTGCTGCCGACACTCCCCATTCCTGTAGATCAAACAGATTCGCTCGTTCCACACGCAACGGAGGAAGGTAATGCTTTCGCGTGCGTTTGTGTGAGTCGAGAATGCCGCTAGCCCGTAGAGTATACTCGAGATGAATGCGAGATTTCTCGAAATAGAGAAACACGCCGTTGAAAGGAGCAAAAAGTCCATGCGAAGTAAGGAGGACATGTGAGGCTGAGAAGGAGAGAGAGAGAGACAGAGTGAGAGGGGGGAGGGGGAAGAGGAAAAAGAGCTGGAAGGGAAGAGAGGGGAGAGCCACAACTTTAAGCAACAATGAAGGGAGAGGTTGCGCGTATAGAGACGGCACACCGCAGCTTCTCGTCGAGCTTGGCCGGCTGGTATCGTGCTGAGAGACGCTTGTGACCGCGCGTATTGATTCCACTTTCTCCAGCCTACCTTCAGCGGTTAAGAGCAACAGAGCGCGCGATATCTGGACGAAGCTATGAAATGCATAATTCGTTTCGGAACGTTCGCGCCGCCGTTTTCAAGCGAGATAACAACCGCACGCTGCGGACCGAACTTGTCGAGCCGAGTCCCGCCGAAGCGCACGAGGGGAATATTTTGCGGGAGAAAATTAACGTTCCCGTTGTCGAGTAGAACTCACTTTTCGTCTCTCTGTTGGGACACACAAAAAGGTCCGTTATTTGCGAAACAGTCCGCGGAACGTGGTTGTGCAACGTCATTAGGGAAGCTGGAGGGCCATTTTTAAGACCGACCGGGATCCCTTTCAGCGAAGGACGGGAACGATTATTCCTTGATGCAATTGCTTCCAATTTTCACGATCGCGGCGCGAGCGGGAGGTCCTATTCAAAGGCGGCCGTAAAAGAGGAATTTGACGACACAAGAATGTAGCTGAAAGCTCGATAACTTCAATATTTCAGATAGAGCACGGGGAAATATTTTGCGCTGAAAGGACTTCGCTGCGGCTGAACTTAACAAGTTTCCTACTCCCGGAGAAGCTTCGCAAAATGATTTCATGAGATACCAGCGTCACTGAAATCCCCTCTCGCTTCGGCCGTCTCCATCATTCAACCTTCCTTCTCCATTGATTCAACGTCCTTAATCACTCGGGTTATGCTAGGTCGGGTCAGACGACAACCTGTGGATGCTCCACGTTCGAGGAGGTTGTTCCATGTGCTCTCTCACCGTCAGCTGTCCTTATACCCGTAAAATTAACGGCGCGGCAAACCCCCCGGGGGGTTTCGACTTACAGAATTCTCGCCGCGTAGAAGCTATTTAGTGTCGTGCAAAACACGCTCGAAGACGACGAGTTTTACGCGACGATGTAAAACTGCAACGAAGACATCGTTTCCGTCCGAAGTTACGGCTTTCTCATCGGTACATTCTCTCCCCGCCTGTTGATATCGCATTGTCCGCTCTCTTGTCCGGTTTACTTTTTCCGCAACTTCCCTTCTCCCTTTCTTCTGGCACTGTGCGACGTACACGCCAGTAGTTTCCACCCGGCTACCTAAATTTTTCAAATGCATTTCCCGAGTGCTCGGCTGCCAGAGCACCCGAGTACACCCAGGTACTCAGATACCGACTAGAGAGATGCCCCTGTTCGCAGAGCGTCAATATACACGCGAGAACGTTAAGATATCAGCATTGCGCATTTAGCACGCGCATCGACAGGTTGTGTGTAACGAGCGATTGGGTACATCGACTTGCGCCTGTTATACGTCCTAACGATCGCGCCACGGCGGACCCTGTGTATAGGGTTGCCAATGAAATTTTGAGGTATATTACCGCGGTAGAACCTGCTGTGCGCATACTGCTATTACGCGGTATTAAATTTGCGCACAATGCAACCCGAGAGTCCGCCGGAACAGACCGTGGGGATAATATTAGACGGGCGTAGTATAATCAAACGGCTGCATTCCGGCGTAGTCAAACATACAGAGATCGCTCCCTTTCTTGCTCCGCCCGTGCGCAAAGAAAGTAGGCTAATCCGTGCATTTCGTGTCTCCCCCTCCCCTCCCTGCGCCCCGACTCTGTCCGTGTGAAGCGACAGTCGAAGAAAATCAAACTCGCGAATGCTCTCTCTATTCAAGTCTCGGATTTAAATGAGCGGAAACGTGCACATAGAAAGAGAGAGAGAGAGAGAGAGAGAGAGAGAGAGAGAGAGAGAGAGGAAGCGTCGAAATATGCGAAAACATTTGGCGATGTTCTCGCCATGGGAAGACTGCTTTCATCGATCAAATCGGTGAGCGCTTGTGGATGTGTGTGTTTGCATAAACGAGCATAATGGCGATATTTTCCGCAGAAAAGTGGGACTTTCACGAAGACGCGAGTCGAAAGATCTCGCCGAGAGAGAGAGAGAGAGAGAGAGAGAGAGAGAGAGAGACTGCCGCGGCAAGAACATAATTTTATAAAGGGCAAATTTGCGCGGCACTTAACTTTCACGGGCACGACCCCTCAGGCATCATGTCGACGTCCGAGAAGTCGGGCCAGGTGAGAAAGTTCGGCGTATCAAAGCGAACGCTAAAAATAAATTCGCAGGAGTTCGCACGTCGACGCGCGAATGCCGCTCGCAGCGGAACGAAACATTTTTCCTTCGACTCGCGGAACGATAGGGGCGGGTCTTATCGACATCCGGCAACGCTATTTTTCCTGTTTGACGCTCAGCGGGCGAGCGGGCGAGCGAACGAGCGAGCGAGCGAGCGAGCGAGCGTTATCGTTTCCACGTCGGTCAAAAGGGCTGGCGCGACATTGGGTGAAAATGGGTCGTCCGATAATTCGTCCCCTCGAAAATACCGTTACGATATGCATGGATTTGGGTTAACTCCGTTTCGGTGATTTCGCAGTCGCGGCGCACGAGTCATTTGTTTGCACAATGCGCGACATTTCGAAACAATACGGAAGCTTTCCGCTAAACACGCAACTCTGCCCTGCTAAATGTAAGACAAACGTTAAAGGACAGCGACGATGTTCACATTGTACGCGTATATTTTACGAATATACGGACTGAGAGACAAAAGGAGAAGAAGTCGTCGAGGTGAGGCGGGGATCGTAATATGCAGAAGAAAAAGAAGAAATTCTCACTGGAATATAACACTTGAGCAATCTGACAATCAATACATACGCAGATGCCCGAAGCACCGAGGGTCGTCCACCCGCCTGGTCACTTTGCCGACTCGAAAGTGTGTGCGATACCGTTTGTACGGCGCCGATACGAGGAAAAGAGCTGGAAAGAATATTGGGCGGGAACGTACCGACCGATAATACGATCCCAGAAAAGCGTTCATCTCGAACCGCCGCGGATTTAGGTCACTGGTTCGAGGCCTGTTGAATGCCAGACCGTTCCGCCGATTTTGCCCGCTGCCTCGTGGATTATGATCTTTGCTAAAAGCTCTCGGCGACTGACGACGTATACCGTACCATTTGAATATCAAGACTCGAGTAGGAAGAGAGAGAGAGAGAGAGAGAGAGAGAGAGAGAGAGAGAGAGAGAGAGAGAGTGGGCAGGAGAAGGGAAGAAGAAGAGGAGTATCGTAGATATCAAATCGCCGAGCGGATTTGTGTGACTCCGCGAGCTTCGTCGACTCGCGCGAGCGATTCCGTTTAGCGTCGCGGAATCCAGCTTTCTGAGTTTACAAGCATCTCGAGAACTCTGATATCTCCCGCATATCTTTCTTTTGTGCGAATCTCATGACATCAACGACACTCGAGTTATTTCCAAGCTCTCGAAGCTGGATCGAGACGCGCGGCGTCGAAACGACAACGCTCGGTACGCGACCGCGCGTTGTCTTTTCGACGTCTTTGTTACTTATCACGTCTCGATTTATAGTTGGCCTTACAGCCCTTTCGAAAGAGAGAGAGAGAGAGAGAGAGAGAGAGAGAGAGAGCAATTTTTTGGGAAAAGCAGAGCCCGGGACGAAGCAGAGCGAAACAAAGCGTAATTAAATCCGTTCTTTCCGACTGCGCTACGCGTGCTGTGTGTGTGTGTGTGTGTGTGTGTGTGTATGTGTGTACGGCAACGAGAAAGTATTTTTAATCGCTCACAGTTGCTGTGCGACGCATTTTCGCAATGACTACGGCGGTTAGGACGCATTCCGATCATCGTAGCCTCGGAAACGTTGGGCGACCAGGGTTGACGCGCGAAAATTCGCTACGAGTACGTCAGCAACCCTGTAACTCCGGCTTGTGTGCGAAGCGTGTACAAAGCTAAAGGGTAGGTAGGGAGCAAAGAGGAAAAGGGGCAGAATCGATAAACCAGCCTGCCAAAGCAAGCTCCGTTCGACCGCAACGTGCAACACCTCTAACGTCGTGATGCCCGCTGCGATCGTGCCGAGGCGTTGCTATTCTACGAAATCGCGAAACCATAAATCAAGCAAGCACCCCCGGCAACCGGGTCGGCGACGAGTTCGAAGAGACGCGAAACGCAGATTTGAATAAATAAATCAATATTCAACAACGGACCTTCACAAAGCTGGAACACGCGCAACAGTTGCGCGACAGTTCCAAGTGATATCCTGCGCACGAATCTGCCAGAGAATCAGGAGCGGTCGCATCCGCGACGATCCGCAGGAGAAGATAACCCTTGACTGCGCGATTTAAACGCGAGGAAACGACAAGTTCTTAATTTGGACATAAATCAGCAATGACTTCCGGGCAGCGCGTGCGGGAGGGAGCGTTAACACACATAGGAGTGAACGACAAAGATAACGAAAGTAAAGGATAAAAGGGATAAGGATTGAAATCGATATACCATTCCGCGAGCCCCGGCCCGGCTCGGCCGGGTTCACCTGAAACTTGTCGAGCTCTGGATAATGCTGTAATATCTACTGTGCCCGATGGAAAAGAGCTCTCGTGTCGGAAGCCATTAAAATTCAATTTCACAAGCGGTGACGCAAGCTGACCAGGAATAAGCTCTTAATCATCCGGTAAATAGAATTTTTTGAAAACGCCGGCGGCCATCGCCGGCGTGCCTTCATCAGGCGCAGCCTGTTTATCTTGGGTGATTACTATCGACCTCGCCGATGAT